ATTCCTGGGGCAATAGATAGAATGACGTGAGATGGGAAATAAGTAGGATGTGAGGAAGTCGGTTCTGTGAGGGGTTGTGTCAGGGAAGAGAGAGTCAGGAAGAAGCCAGAAGTAGTCATGGATCTGGGAAGGGATGTTGAAGATGGAAGAGACTGAAGCTGAAAGTATGAGTCCAACAGAGCAGGAGAACATTCAAGTTATAGAAAAGAGAAGGGAGTTTTAAGAGAAGTGGGAAAGGAGGGAACATATGTGGAGGTGTCAATCTTTTCAGGAAAGAAAGATAAGGCTTTTTTGTAAAAGGAGGGAAGGGGGAAAGGAAGGATAAATGGATGCAGACAAGTTTTCTGCATCATGTCAAGAAGTCAGGCACATCCATCTAGCAGTGGCTTTTATTTTCTGTGAAACTACAGTAAGTGAAGTAATTGATGTGAAGGGACTGCTAGAGTAAAAAGTTTGAGAAAAAAGATTTAAAACAGCCATTGTGAAGACAAGAAAGAAACCTGCTTTACCCCTAGTTTGGCTTTGTCAACAATAGTTTGCATTTATTGAGTAATCACATTTGCTAAAACCTTTGCGTACACCAACTCATTTCATTTTCACAACCTTTAAGGTAGGTGCCATTATTATATACAAGAAAATTAAGATTTGGAGAGGTTAAGTGACCTGGGGTCTCGTTTCACTGTGTCGGACCTCAGAGCCCACACTCTCCAGGATTTTTTCTGTCTCTTAGAGAGTCCTTCATTTTTCTGAAATTATTCACATGTATATGTGGACATTTGTCCTCTGAATTATTTTCTATGAAAATTATTTAATTTTCTTAATTATTTAATGACAGTATTTTCCATCCACAACCTGATTTCAAGTTTCTTGCATTAGGAGCTTTGCCTTCTATTATTTCGTGTTTTCTACAACTCCAAGAAATGCAGGAGCACAAGTATTAACAACACTTTATAAACATGAAGCCTTTTTTTGCAGTTACAGTTAAAATATTACAAAACCATTAAAAGGGAGTCTTTTAAATCAGCCAGATTTGGGCATAACTTTTTCCACGTGTTCCTCTTTAGCCTTATCTACTAAAGAAGAACACACAGTGTATTATATAACTACATGTGTTATATAACTTTTAAAATTATTTGTAAATATTTTCCTATGTTTCTCACAGTGTTCAGGTAAACTAATTTTTGGAGGTTTAACTTTTTACACTTTTCAAGCACATTACTATATTTTTTCTTTTTATACTGAAAAGATAAAATAGTTTGTTTACATCTTATGAATCCTAAGTGGTAGATGTCTGACTTATTTCCAATAACTAATGGTTCATGTGGGGTTGAACAAAAACCTGTAAAATATTCATCATTTAAATCTCCATGTTTGGCATGGAGTCCGTTAGTATGTCAGACTCACAGATATGTTCCAAAACACAGCTGACAGGCAGCCACACAAAATGAATGTGCAACAGTTGGTATCAACATGGAAAGTAGGAAGAGAGTCTTTGCCTACTGCCGGGAGATATACAGAGATCCTCGGAAACCTCAGATGAGGAAGGGTCCCAGTAAGTAAACCAACTGAACAAATGGATGATCATGCCCAAAGTCCACTGACCCTGGACTTCCCTCGTGGCTCAGATGGTAAAGAATCTGCCTGCAATTCAAGAGACACGGTTCAATCCCTGGGTTGGGAAGATCCCCTGGAGAAGGGAATGGCAACCCACTCCAGTATTTTTGCCTGTAGAAATCCATGGACAAAGAAGCCTGGCAGGCCACAGTCCATAAATTCACAAAGAGTTGGACATGACTGTGACTAACACACAAGGTCCACTGAGGCTTGGTAGAGAGCATCAGAGAGGAAATCAGTCAGTTCAGTTCAGTCGCTCAGTCGTGTCTGACTCTTTGTGACCCCATGAATTGCAGCACGCCAGGCCTCCCTGTCCATCACCAACTCCCAGAGTTCACTCAAACTCATGCCCATCAAGTCGGTGATGCCATCCAGCCATCTCATCCTCTGTCATCCCCTTCTCCTCCTGCCCCCAATCCCTCCCAGCATCAGGGTCTTTTCCAAAGAGAGTCCCTTGGACTGCAAGGAGATCCAACCAGTCCATCCTAAAGGAGATCAGTGAGAAAATAGGATGGCCTAAAGAGAAAATATTTAGTAAATGAGACAAGACTAGGTGAGTATGTAAAAAGTGAGAAGAGAATGTTTTTTTTCTGTCAAAAATATTTCATCCTCCAGGACTTTCCTGGTGGTCCAGTTGCAGGAGGCACAGGTTTGATCTCTGTTGAGGAAGTCCACATGCCACAAGTTGCAGCCAAAAAAATGTCATCCCCTGGTCTTCATGCAGATACATTCAAGTGATGGAAAGGGAAAACCAAACCAGCATCTCTGAATTTCTCCTCCTGGGTTTCTCAAGTTGGCCAGAGCAACAAGAGCTGCTTTTTGCACTTTTCCTATGTCTCTACTTAGCAGGGCTCTTTGGAAACTTACTCATCTTGCTGGCCATTTCCTCAGACCATCGCCTCCACACACCCATGTATTTCTTCCTCGCCAATTTGTCTGTGGTGGACCTCTGCCTTCCTTCATCTACAGTACCCAAGATGCTCCTGGACATCCAAACACAGACTCAGTCCATCTCCTATCCTGGCTGCCTGGTTCAGATGTATTTCTGTATGATGTTTGCCAACATGGACAATTTTCTTCTCACAGTAATGGCCTATGACCGTTATGTGGCCATCTGTCACCCTTTGCGTTACTCCACCATTATGACCCAGCACCTCTGCATCTCCCTTGTGGGTGGACCTTGGGTGATTGCCTTTTTGAACCCCCTCTTGCACACCCTTATGATGACGCGTCTGCATTTCTGCTCTAACAATGTCATCCACCATTTCTTCTGTGATATCAGTGCTCTCCTCCCTCTATCCTGTTCTGACACCAGTCTTAATCAGTTCTTGGTTCTTGCTGTGGTGGGGCTAATCTTTGTGGTACCCTCAGTGTGTATCCTGGCATCCTACAGCCTCATTATCTCTGCTGTGATGAAAATCCCTTCTGTCCAAGGAAAATTCAAGGCTTTCTCCACCTGTGGGTCTCACCTCGCCTTGGTCATTCTTTTCTATGGAGCAATCACAGGGGTCTATATGAGTTCCTCATCTAACAGTTCAACTGAAAAAGACTCAGCAGCATCAGTAATTTTCATGATCGTAGTCCCTGTGGTGAATCCCTTCATTTACAGTCTAAGGAACAATGAGCTGAAGGGGGCTTTAAAGAAGATTTTAGGCCAGAGCAAAATCTTCTCCCAGTGATTCATTCTGGCTGAGTTCAACAGGTGGTAAATCCTAATGAGATCATTATTTTCATTCTTATCATAATTGAAAAGCTGTTACAAAATACCTACTTTTGCCTTATTGACTATGCCAAAGGCTTTGACTGTGTGGATCACAACAAGTGGAAAATTCTGAAAGAGATGGGAATACCAGACCACCTGACCTGCATCCTGAGAAATCTGTGTGCAGGTCAGGAAGCAACAGTTAGAACTGGACATGGAACAATAGACTGGTTCCAAAACAGGAAAGGAGTACATCAAGGCTATAGATTGTCACCCTGCCTATTTACCTTATATGCAGAGTACATCATGAGAAACACTGGGCTGGATGAAGCACAAGCTGGAATCAAAATTGCCAGGAGAAATATCAATAACCTCAGATATGCAGATGACACCACCCTTATGGCAGAAAGCGAAAAACTAAAGAGCCTCTTGATGAAAGTGGAAGAGAAGAGTGAAAAGTTGGCTTAAAACTCAACATTCAGAAAACTAAGATCATGGCATCTGGTCCCATCATTACATAGCAAATAGATGGGGAAAGAGTGGAAACAGTGACAGACTATTTTGGGGGGCTCCAAAATCACTGCAGATGGTGACTGCATCCATGAAATTAAAAGATGCTTGCTCCTTGGAAGAAAAGATATGACCAACCTAGACGGCATATTAAAAAGCAGAGACATTACTTTACCAACATAGGTCCATCAAAGCTATGGCTTTTCCAGTAGTCATGTATGGATGTGAGAGTTGGACTATACGGAAAGCTGAGCACTGAAGAATTGATGCTTTTGAACTGTGGTGTTGGAGAAGACTATTGAGGATCCCTCGGACTGCAAGGAGATCCAACCTGTCAATCCTAGAGGAAATCAGTCCTGAATATTCATTGGAAGGACTGATGCTGAAGCTGAAACTCCAATACTTTGGCCACCTGATGGGAAGAACTGACTCATTTGAAAAGAACCTGATGCTGGGAAAGATTGAAGGCGGGAGAAGGGGTCGACAGAGGATGAAATGGTTGGATAGCATCACCGATGCAATGGACACAAGTGTGAGGAGGATCCAGGAGTTGGTGATGGACAGGGAAGCCTGGTGTGCTGAAATCCATGGGGTTGCAAAGAGTCGGACACAACTGAGCGACTGAACTGAACTGAACTACAAAATACCTAATTAAACTTAACACCTACCTCACTTTGCTACAAACTCTAGGAATGACATGATCCTAGGACTTCTCCCCTTGAGTTCCCTAGGATATTAATAATGTGGGCAAATATTTATATATAAAGTCTCTGAAAATCACAATATAAATATGCAATCAGCATTCAAATGCATCATTAAGGCATCCCATATGGTTAGGATTAATGCAGGAATATACCACAGGGAGAACACAAAAGATCTTTTCCCTAGGACTGCCCTAGAGTTGACAGGAATAGGTAATTACATTGTCATTCATGAAGAACAGTAGAGAATAAACGGGCTATGTAATGAAAGGTTCAAACCATGACTACAAGTTGAGGTAAGAAAACCAAAGATATTAGTAAAGGCTAAGAGGTCAAGTAAGGCTTCAGTGAAAAGACAGTACTTTAATCTGGGTCTTAACTGCAAATGAGTTTTACAAAGGAATAATGAAAATATTCAAAATACATGACGAAGAGGCAAGGTGAAGGCCCACTGGTGAGGAACACTGGCTGAGATGCAGGCAGCAGCAGCCGCGGGGCCTGGCGAGGAGACCATGGGCGCCTCAACCTCCTGGGGCCTGCCTGCCTGTGTCCCAGCTCCGCACCACGAACTACAGGAGGTTCCGGGCCCGAACCATCTGCCCATCGAGCTGCTCCGGGAGATGCTGAGCTACCTGCCCCCAAGCACGCTGCTCCGGCAGTGCCGCCTGGTGTGCCGGCGCTGGCGAGAGGTGGTGGACGACAAGGACCTGTGGCTGAGCATCCTGTCCTGGAAACACCCCGACCTGTGGCCCGTCATCCGCACCTGCCTGCCCCCTGCTGGCGGCCCCGGGCCCCGCATCCTGGGCCGCTTCTGCGAGCTCAGACCCATAGGGCGCAAGCTCACCGTGAACCCCATGGAGAAAGACCTCTGGAACTGTCTGATGCTGAGCGGTAGCGATGGCTCGGAAGAAGAGGAAGACTTGGGGGTCAGGCTTAAGACTTCTGAGGAGACGAGCTACAGTTCTGCCTACAGGTGTTGGTACAAGGGAGAAATTTTGGATCTGGAGAAGGAGGGCCTGTGGCGGGAACTCCTGGATAGTGGAAAGATTTGGATTTCTGTCTGTCGCCGCTGGACAGAGCAACAAGGCAGTGACCGGATGTATCAGCTAGTCGTCAAGCTTCTAGATTCCAACTATGCCACCTTGCATTATTTCTTCCATAAACGTTTTCCCGTCCGGCCGCGGACAGGCAGCTTCCCCTTTCGGATCATGCATTCGTTCACCAACATCAAGAAGGGCGTCCGCTTTGTGTTGTTTGACCACAGTGTCGAGGGCTATGACTCGTGGCCGGAGCAGTGTGAAGTCTCCAGGCCCCAGTCCAGTGTCATCGTACGGATCCGTCCCTAAGCTGTCCCTGTAAGAGAGCCTGACCATGCCTTCCAGGAGCTGCGACCATTGGCCAGACCACCTCAATTATCAAGAGCTTGTAGCTCCTGGCATCCTGGGATCTCTCCTGGGTCCAATCAAGGGACCTACTGGGCCCTGTCTTTAAATTCTATGAGAAACTACGAGAACGTTCTTACATCAGGGTTACTGACTGAATGCAGCCCCTGTTCTACGGAGTGGAAACACACGGGTGAAAACAAGGAAATGGTGAGAGGGCTCCTCACCCTCCCCCCCAGTGCCAGGCCCTCTGGTTCGGCCCCCGTGCCCTCTGCCCTCGTCTTCTGTTTCTGCTGCAGAGGCTTCATTGATCACTTCCAAGAATCCCTCTCCTCATGTCTGAACCAGAAACCCATCCCTCTGGCTGAGTAATTCCAGTCCCTAACCTTTCGTGATTTCAAGACTGTGACCAGGACTCAGAGCTGAAAGTTAAACTAGTTCTGTTTAGAGGCAGAGGGTTCTGCCCACCCTGTGCACAATGAATTTGGTCCCCAGAGCCCTGCCCTATTCTGGATTCTATGGTGGATAGAATTATTTTGTTACTTTGAAATTCTTTTTTAATTTGGAGATAATCAGGAATGTATCTTCCAATCATAGTTAATAAATACAATATTTGCCTAAAGTAAAAAAAAAAAAAATACATGAGGAAGAATTTTAGGTAAGGAGGACCATGGTGTGTATGAGCAAATGTATTGAATAAATTAACCTTAATGCAGTGAAGGGTCCATATTGGGATTAGTGAGAATGGGGGATGGATTATTTCTCACCCCAATGTTTTATTCATGTTTTACAGCTATATTATATGCATTTCCTATAATCAGTCTTTATTCCTTTGTGTTAAAAGTAGGATTTATAATCTGTTGTCTATGTGTATACCTATATATCTTCATGATGCTCTACAAAAAATTACTTGGGAGGCTATTAATTATCAATTTAAATTTTAAAATTTTTTGTGGTTATTTACTCTGCGATATGCATAGAGTTGCCTATATGAGTAGACCCTGCCAGCAATAGAAAGCATATGCCCTTGTGAATTTTGACTTAAAAATCATATCTGATTTAACATTTTCTGTGTCCACAATGTTCCCCAAAGCCCTGCAAAAAGCATTGTTCCATAGGTCATAAGTCCCATATTTTAAGTCATACCATCCAAAATATGTCCTCAAAGCTGGTTTTTAAAAATGTTCATTTTTTATGATGTGATCACTGAGAGACAGAAATAAAGATAAAAAGATAGAGATGAGATAAACATACAGGTTTTTCTTAAAAGACATCTTGCTATAAATATGTATTTACTTATGATAAGACGACCTTCTAGAAATTACCTTTGTGGTTTTTACTCTTTTATGATGAGAGAGAGATCAGAAAAATTTGTTGGAGCATGTAAAGATCAATGTAAATAACACTGGTGCAAGGACAGAAGCAACAGCAAAAGTCAACCAGTTCACAATTCCCTGTCTCTTGAGAGATCTTTGTGTGTACCAGATATCTTAGTTGCAAATAAGAAATTAATTATTCTTAATTAAACAGAAAGCTTAATGCAGAAGTACTGTTCATTATGAACTCATCAGGAATTCATAAAATTGCTGGAAGGGTTGGCGAAGCAGACTATTGATAAAGGAAACTGAAAGAAATGGAAACGTATCTTATGCTCTTGGATTGGAAGAATTAATATTATTAAAATGGTCACACTACCCAAAGCAATATACAGATTTAATGTGATCTCTATCAAATTACCCATGACATTTTTCATATAAACAGAACAAATAATCCTAAAATGTATACGGAGCCATAAAAGACCCAGAAGTGCCAGCAATGCTGAGAAAAAGAACAAAGCTGGAGGCATAACCCTCTCAGATTTCAGAAAAACTGAAAAGTTGCAGAAATTTTTTCAGAAGAGTGTGGTATTGGCACAAAAACCATGAGGGTGTGGAGAAAACAAAACCCTTGTACAGTGTTGGTGGAACTGTGGGAAAGTATGGAGGCATCTCAAAAATCTAAAAATTGCCATATGACCCAGTAATTCCACTCCTGGATTTATATATAAACAAATCAAAAAAACACTAATTAGAAAAGATACATGCACCTCAATATTCATAGCAGCATTATTTATAATTGCCAAGATGTGGAAACAACCTAAGTGCCCATCAATAGATAAATATATAAAGACTATATAAATACAATGGAATACTACTCAACCATAAAAAAGAATGAAATTTTTTTATCATTTGCAGCAAGGTGGATGGACTTGAAGAGAACTATACTAGCAAAATAAGTCAGACAGAGAAAGATAATATATATCACATATGTAAAATATACATCTGCATATATCACAGATGTAAAATCTAAAAAATAAAACAAACTTGTTAGTATAACAAAAAGAAACAGACTCATAGATATAGAGAACAAACTAGTGACTACCAGTGGGGAGAAGGGAGGGAGAGGAGCAAGTTAGGGGTAGGGAACTAACAGGTAGAGACTACTATAAATAAAATAAATAAGCTATAAGGAGATATTGTATAGAATAGGGAATATACTTATAACAACAGAGTATTTTATAATAATTATAAATGGAGTATAACCTTTAAAAATTGTGAAATATGTGTACACCTGAAACATATTGTAAATCAACTATATCTCAGTTTAAAAATGTTTAATAACTAACTAAACAAGAGATGATAGTAGAAGGTCCATGTGATGGAGAAATGATATTCTGATTTTTATATATATATATATATATTACCCTGGCTGCTCTGCTGAAAATGGACTATGGATGAGATAGGTACACGCAGAGTTCACTTAAGAGGTTACTGCAGTAATCAGAAGAGATAATGGTGTATCAACCCATTTTTAGGAGAAAACATGAACACAATGCTATCCTCACAAGTGGAATATTATATAGTAATGAAAATGATTTTAACTCAACAATATGGTTATATCTTAATGACAAATTGAATGAAAAGAAACAAATATCAGAGTACCTTTGAGACAATGCCTTTTAGATCAAAACCAACTAAAATTAAAAGCATATACTTTTCGTTCATGAGTATACACCAAACAGACCTATCTTTTCAATAAATAAGAGAATACAAAATTTGTAATAGTGACTAACTCAGATTACAGGAGATACGGAAGGAAACAAGAGAAAGAGTTGTAGTAAAATTTAAGTTACTGTAATATTCTAGTTCTTAGAGATTTGATGTATCTGTGTTCCACCCGGGGGGTTAAAACAAGGATTCGGAAAAAGGGTTTCCTGTACATCCAAAGGTGAACTTGGAACCGTTTCCCTGCTGCGTGAGCTTTTATGTCACGGCTCTAGACTGAAATGTCCTAAAGGAGATCAGTCCTGGGACTAATCAGGACTGATGTTGAAGCTGAAACTCCAATACTTTAGCCACCTCATGTGAAGAGCTGACTCATTTGAAAAGACCCTGATGCTGGGAAAGACTGAGGCAGGAGGAGAAGGGGACGACGGAGGATGAGATGGTTGGATGGCATCACCAACTCAATGGACATGGGTTTGGCTAGACTCCGGGAGTTGGTGATGGATAGGGAGGCCTGGCGTGCTGCGGTTCATGGGGTCGCAAAGAGTCGGACACGACTGAACTGAACTGAACTGAGACTGAAATGGGCCCATTAAAAAGTTAAGGATGAGGTTCACATGAGACGTAAAGGCAAGCTTACTGCTACAGAAGAGAAAAAACGCCCCCTCCAAGCTCCAAGAGCTCCAAGACGGGCAAAGATGCCTGGGAAATGGAGTCCCAGACCCTGAGGATACCCGAAGGCTTCTGGGAAGTGCAGTCCAAAGTCAGCCCGTCTCCTTCTGCGCAGCCTCAAAAGTCTCTGCGAAAGGAAGCCTTGAGAAGTCGTGCAGCGCCGTCCTTCCACCGGAAGTGTCCGATCGGAACCAGCCCTGTGGGAGAGGTGAGTCCGGGTCTGGGGACCCAGGTGTCCGGTCCTTTGTCTCCTTTAAACACCCAGTCCCTATTATGGTCCCTTCGGGATTGCAACAGCCCTGGGACACTCTGGAACTGGGACCTCAGAGGAATCCCGAGGAAATGTGGAACTAGGTTTAGCGTTGGAAAAGCGTTTGCGCCGGCCTATATCTGGAATGGATAGGGGTTTCCATAGTTACCCCGCCGCGCGTGACGTCATCGTTGAGCGCTGAGAGGGCGTGGTTTGGGGGACTACGGGCCTTCCTGCTGGCTGATATTTTGGGGTCACTGGGAAAAGAAGTGGCCTGACCCAGTTGGGCGAGGCGGGGAAAGGTGGCATCTGTCTCGGGCCGACTGCGTTCTGCCAGAAGAAACTGTCCCAGAGTCCGCCCCAGAGTCCTGCTCTCATCCTGGGAGGAGTAACCCGCCCTTTTGTACGAAAAGTGGGACAGCTCCGGCATCCTCATGAAATTTATTCACATAGTAAATATTTAGTATTCCCTGTGTACTAGGGATGCCTTGAAACTAATATTGAAACGAGTATCGCGTTCTAGAATGAGAGACCAGACAGCAAAGCAGGCAAGTTAGTTGGAAGACCGGAAAATGCCTCTGTGAGAAACAGAAGGTGCTGTGAGAGCCTTCGTCATCACGCACTGTGAATCCCCTGTTCCATTCTGTGACCTCTGCTGGAGGTATAGCCCCGCACACCTCATACTTCTATCCCATGGTACACACCCGGCAGCTACCCATCCACCTACCCAAGAACCTACTCATCCAACAGGAAACCACATTACCAGTTCTCCAATGTAACTAATTACTCCTTACTCTCTTTACCAAACCTCCAATCACTCCTTACTCTGTTGTAGTATTTGTTTACATATTTGCTTAGCTAGTTTTGTAACGCTCCTTCTACACAGTGATTGTAAAGCACTAGATGCTCAAAAAAATGTTTATTAGTTTAAGGTTATTAAGACATTTGAAACTCAGCTTTAGGGAGAATATATCAAATCCTTGCAAGTTAGATGATTTTTATCTAGAGTTTTGAGCTGTTTTAAGTGGATAAGAAGTGATTAAACATCTGAAGACAGAACTTTCAGCTATCTGAGGGAGTAACATATGTTGTAGAATGAGATAATGCCCATAAAGTATTAGGACACTACCTGGTAAACACTTAACACGTCTAGAAAATAACAAGAAGTTCAATTAGCTCCCTATATCAAAGGAATGTCCTAATAAATTAGTAAAAATTGAAACATACATCATAGCTCCAAACCCCCCTCCCACTTTCCTCCTCGTCATTGCTAAATTTTTACCTCATTTACACTCACTCAGACTCTTGTTTTCCAAAATTCAGTCTGAGCCTGTGAGTTTCATTTCATACTCTCGGAGAATTATCCTCAGTATTTATCTTTAACTGCCCTTTCCATGAATCTTATCTAAACTTGTATTTCCATTCCTAACTTCTTTCCATTAAAATCTCTTAATACCTTTTGGAAATTTTTCCTAAGTGAATATCTCATTAGCATCTAAAATACAGAATATACAAAGCAATAGGAAATTCATATTTCTTAATTTCCCCTTTTATCCAATAAATCAACAAAAGTGAGAACTTAAGAATATTAATAATGCATGGTCCTTGACCTCATGGGGCTCCAATCAATAAAAAAAAAACATTGAAAATAATACAAGATGATATGTGTTTTATCCACAGATGTTAAGTGTTAGGAACCTAGAACTCAAAAGTCAAGTTACTGAATTCTTTCTCAGAGGTATTAGAATTCTTAGTCACTCCAGTTACACCCTGTAAGCTGGTCTCACCATCAATCTGCTGTTCATTCGCACTTTCTCAACTGTTTACTTTCCCTTCCTTTTTGCCTTTCTGGATCTTTCTTATCCTTTATTGTTCAGGTTAAGCCCCACCACCTGTAGGAAATATTTGCACACATAGACACACATCCTCCCCCTACCTCAGAACCATTAAGCTATTTAGTGTCTCTGCCATACAGTCTGTTCAATACTTCAGCTTTCAACATTTATCACACTTTTTCAGTATCATGTGAAGCAGGTTTTGTTATTTAAATGTTCTGTATCCATGTGTGTTTTGTGTCATTTCTTTCCAACTCTTGCAAACTCCTTGGAAACTCAAACACTTTTTAAAATTCCTTATATCTGTACATCAGAATACAGAAAATCCAGGCATATCCCATATTAACCACATCAGCATCACCATAGGCAGAAGGCCAAGGAATCTGTTTTAACAAAGTTCTCACATGACAGGCAGTGAGCCCAGTTCTGAATTCAGACTTTCTTAGAAATCACTGCCATATAACTTCTAGCCCAATGCTTTGCCATGTTAAGGTCTTAATAAAGTATATGTTTGTGCAACAATCAGTAGTCAGCTTGGTGAAATGTTTAATAGAAGGACCTGAAAGATGAATATTTGCCTTTCACTAGGGCTTCACTTCTGAATTACTTTATTCAGTTTTTCAGTTCAGATGCCAAACAGACCATTCCCAAGTGCTGCTAAGACTTGAGGAACTGATATCTAATGATAAGATTCACAAAAGATTGATAAGCAGGTCTTGGTGCAGTTTATTATGCTTTATTGGTAATCTAATTGGCCTTGATATCTAGGACATGGACTGAGCCATTAAATTCAGAAGGCTGAGAGAATTGTTGAGACAAAAGGAAACAGATTTATCTCAGATTTTGAGAGAAGAAGTTCGTTACACTGAAATTGTTAACCTTGGCCTTTAAGGAAAGTTGCCTGGTTTTTATTATTTAAGAGATGTATTAGTAATCCTAGTTCAATGTTCTGAATAATTATAACATTCTAAGCCTGTATTTTCCCCCACACTTTGAGGACAGTTACCTCTTTATGTTTCTATCCTATTATGGTCCATCCTAGAGATGAACAATATATTTATCTCCGCAAACAGTATTTATCAGGCCATTCTGCTCAGAAGCTTTCATTGGCTCCCCAGTGCCTAAAAGATAAACTCTGAATTCGTGAGCTTGACATTTGAAGCTTCCTTCAATAGAACCTTTGTCTCTATAATTTATTTATGCAAACCTACTGACATTTTGCCTTCCCACTTGTGTTCCTACCATTAACCAGTTGCTTGTAATTTCCTGTTTCTCTCTCTCCCAACATCCTAGGCAAATTCTATCCATTCATCAGAAGTTAGTTTTTTAATTAAGCTTTTCCTGAATATTGAAACCTACTGTGTTCTTTTCCATCCCCAACTTATTGAGCACTTCTGTCATTTTTCTCTTTTTTGATGGTTATTTTCTTTATGAGTAATATATAATTTAATTGTGTGTGACAAAGTAACATTTATTATTGCCTTATATTTATACTCTTATATTTAATACCTATAAATTATCTTATTTTTAAAATTAAATTTTAAGCTGCTTTTAGGTGGAAATTATGTAACAGTTGTAAGTCCACAAAACAGGTATTTCAGTGCTTTTAAATGCCCAGCCAATTTTTGTATAATGGAGAATGACTTTTTCTATGATGTGACCTTTTGTCTTCCTGGACAGTAATAGAAATCTTTTTAATCCCTCAGGAGAGTTCTTAAAACTAAAAAAGGCTCTTCACAGAGCAGAAGTGGAATTCTAATAATACAGTTTATTTCAAGATGGCAACTGAATCAAAGAAAACTGCAGCTCAGAACCTTCAGGAGGATGAAGGACTTCTGATAGTGAAGATGGAAGAGGAAGATTTTGTCTGGAGGCAGGATGCTTGCTTACAGAGGAGTGATCCCCTCAGGCAGGAACTCTGCCGGCGGCTGTTCCGGCAGTTCTGCTACCAGGATTCTTCCGGGCCCCGAGAGGCACTGAGCCAGCTCCGGGAGCTCTGCTGTCGGTGGCTGGAGCCAGAAACCCAGACCAAGGAGCAGATCCTGGAGCTGCTAATTCTGGAACAGTTCCTGGCTATCCTGCCAGAGGATCTGCAGGCCTGGGTGCGTGAACATTACCCAGAGAGTGGAGAGGAGGCAGTGACCCTACTGGAAGATTTAGAGAGAGGCACTGATGAAGCTGCACTCCAGGTACAAAGGGGTTGGGGGATCTAAGACCTCCAGGATGGATGGAGTCGCACATAGGGAGAAAGGGACCTGAGATTGAATATCTAGTGAGCTTTGTGAAAAAGAAGTGAAGGTGAAGTCGCTCAGTTGTGTCCGACTGTTTGCGACCCCACGAACTGTAGCCTATCAGGCTCCTCTGTCCATGGGGTTTTCCAGGCAAGGGTACTGGAGTGGGTTGCCATTTCCTTCTCCAGGGGATCTTCCCAAGCCAGGGATTGAGCCCAGGTCTCCTGCATTGCAGGCAGACGCTTTACCATCTGAGGCACCAGGCTCCCAAAGTGAGCTTTGTAGGAACTCTTCCCTCTCTGCTAGGTACTATGCTACCTTTTACAATTGAGGCAGACTTAATTCTTCCTTCCCCAGTTTTGTATAACTCTGGAAGATTCTCTTTGGTTTGGGAAGATGTTTAATTCCAACTGGGATTCTCTCATAAGCCCAAATGTACTTTGTTTTTCTCAGATTCCAATCTGTGGACATGGACAAGAACCATTCAGGAGAAAAGTGGCACCTCTTGGGCCAGCTCTTAGTATCCAGTTCCAGCCAGTGGACACCATGGCCCTCCATGGTTCTTCAGAACCCCAGCTCCTACTGGACTGTGGTAAGGAGCAATACTCTATGTGGTGCATGTCCCTGAAGTGCTGGGACAGTGAACCTCCCTTCTAAGACTATTCTTAGTAACTGTAGACGGTCCTTTCCTTTATTACTTAATAAGAAATAGAAAACTCTTTTCCTTTTGTATCATTGTCCATCCAAAATAAGAGAGAGAGAACTTTGTTTTTTATTCAGAATGTCTCCTTTTTCATTTGTTCTTTATCTAACATGAGATGTTTTCATGTTATGAGCTAATTAAAGGAAAGAAAATGAATGGGTTGAGAAAATGTTAGGGAATGAGAAAAGAGGCAAAAGTGAAAGAAACACATGCATAGAAATAAAACATGTTAATAGGGAAGCAGATATAATGATAGGAAAAAAGAGACAAATATGTGATGATACACTCAGAAATAGAATATAATTCACAGATACATAGAACAAGATCCATATTATTGCCTTTTTATTTTACTTTTGGTTTTACAAAGCCCTCATGTTTTTGTAGAAAGTTGGCCATACTTGTGATGACTACCTCCATAGAATCCTCTTTGCTGTTCTAAAATTCATTGTTTAAAAGGTTCAAGGACTCAGTATCACTTTAAGTGTATATGGTCCTAAAAAATAAACCCAAGAATAGATTACACTAATTTTTAAGATTACCCAAATTCTGCTTTCAGGTTTGTTCTGGAAATATTTCCATCCATCTCATCTAAAACTATAAATTTTCCCACCCTAAGGCCAGTACTGCCTAACCCCTTCTCCCATCCTAGCTTATTATAGACAAAGGAAATCCTATAAAAAGAGGGGCAGCTTGATTCCAGTTTAATATAGTTTAATATAGAGTCAGGAGCACAGTATAGATTGATGAGCTAAAAGGTAGAATTTGTGAGGACTAGATCATAAATGAGTATGAAGAGCTCAGATGTATTGTAGAGGAGATTAGGATTTCTAAGTAGGGTGTAAGAATGACAAGGTTCAATGATGATTAGTCTGGTGAGAGTATTTAGGATGACTAGGAAGAATAGCTCTGAGTGAAACAACAAGGAGGCTGTTACAGTTATCTGAACAGGAAGTGATGAGGTTCTATAGTTAACAGAAGTGTAAAGAAAAGAAGGTATATAGGGGACATTTAGCAGAAATGACAGAATTTGATTATCCATGAAAGATGAAGAAGTGGACAGATGGATTGGATGAATAGATGGATGGAGGTTTTTCCCACCACATACACATACCTGAGTCTATAATTTTACTTTTCTCTATGCATCTATGTCCTCATCTACTTTCTTTAAAACGGTGCCTCCCTTTCACCCTCTAACAGTAGAAGTATAAACCCAAAGTTCCCCAGAATCCTTCACAGTCACATTTCATAGTTCTGTCTTCTTACCTGTTCCCCCCACTCCCATTCTGGCTGGTGATGATCCTCTTCCTACTCTTCTCTATTGTTGTCTGCTCATCTCACATGTCTGTTTCCTCTCTCTGCCAACTACTGCATACATATGCTTTTACCAATTATTCTTTCTCTTTTATCCTCATCCATCCCTCCTCTCATTTGAAAGGTCACATTTTTAGAGTAGCCAAATCATGGCTACTGTGTAACTATCTTGGGTGCATCTCAAAGTTTTACCTTCTTTTAGTTCAGCAAACAGATATTTTCCTCTTTATTTTTTCATCATTTTTTTTAGATAACAAGAGTGAAAACAGTGAATCCATGCCAAAGCTGGACATTTATGAGAAAATGGAATCACAGAGAATTGTATCAGGAAGAATTTCAGAATTTGTGTCAGAAGGATCTGCTGAGCCTCAAGACATCTGTAAGTCTGCAGGCAAGATAAAGAGGCAGCAGGAAAAAGACTCAGGGGAGTCTCGGAAATCATCATCTGCTCAGGATGCAGCTTTCAGTAAAATCCTCACCCATAAAAATACACTTACAGGTGAAATAAGCCATGATGGCTGTGAGAGAAACTTAAATCTGAACTCAAATGAATTTACACACCAGAAATCTTGTAAACACAGTACGTGTGACCAAAGTTTCAAATGGAATTCAGATTTTATTAAGCATCAGAGAATTTATGCTGGAGAAAAAATTCACCCATGTGGGAAATCTCTCAAGAACCCAAACCTTATTAAACATACAGCAGTTTTCACTGGCGAGAAGACCCATCAGTGTAATGAATGTGGAAAAGCTTTCAGACACAGCTCAAAGCTTATTAGGCATCAGAGAATCCACACTGGAGAGAGACCCTATGAATGTAATGAGTGTGGAAAAGGCTTTGGGGGGAGCTCAGATCTTATTAGACACCAAAGGATTCACACTGGGGAGAGACCCTTTGAATGCAAAGAATGTGGGAGAGCATTCAGCCTGAACTCACATCTTATCCTGCATCAGAGAATTCACACCAGGGAGAAACCCTATGAATGTAGTGAATGTGGAAAAACCTTCAGAGTGAGCTCACACCTTATTCGACACTTGAGAATCCACACTGGAGAGAAACCCTATGAATGCAGTGAGTGTGGAAGAGCCTTCAGCCAGAGCTCACACCTTAGTCAACATCAGAGAATTCACAAGAGGGAAAACCTGTTCATGTAAAGAACTTAAATTCATAGGAAATAGAACAGGAAAAACATTGAATAAATAATAAATATCGGTTGAGATGAATGACTGAAAGACCAGTATCTCTTTATTTTCTCTCATTTTTGGTTTGCTGTTCTGCATATAATCTTTATTGCCGTATGTCTGCTTGCTAAAGTCAAACCAGAAAAGCAAAATTTGGGGGAGGCTAATAAATGAGTCAGGCTTCCCTGGTGGCTCAGTGATAAAGAATCTTTCTGCCAGTGCGGGAGACACAGGTTCAGTCTCTGGGTCGGGAAGATCCCCTGGAGAAGGAAATGGCAACCCATTCCAGTATTCTTACCTGGGAAATCCCATGGACAGAGGAGTGTGGTGGGTGTACATGGGGTCGCAAAAGGGTCAAACACAACTTAGAGACAAAACAATAACAAATAAATAAGTTAGTCTATGGCAATGAAAATAGAAAAAGAGGACTCTTGGGAAATAACCAGAATTACAGTGTGGGGGAAAGAAGATTCAGGTAAAGAGAGCCTGATCATTATCATTAACTCTAGTTAATGATTCTCCGTAAGAAGAGGTAAGCTAAGCCTCGAAATGGAATAGTTTGAGCAAGGTACTGCAGAACAGTGCTTTTAAAGTATTCCTTTAAAAAATGAAGATACAACAAAACTAAATTAGTCATGTCAAAAACGAGGATGTATGCAACGGTGGCATTCCAATATGTAAGCCAAACTCTGTCCAGCAGTCATGCCAGGAAGTAAACAACCAGAAGAGCACTTAAAGCAAGAGGCCATAATCCTGAGATTGAAGGAAGACAGGGAGGGAGTAGAAGCAAATTAGGCAAGAGCTGGGGTTAGAGGTAAGGAAAGGTGTTGCAAATTGAAGTAAACCTTCGAATTTGGAGGACATACACAGTAGCATAACCAGGACTTTACTGCCATGCTGTGGGGGTTTGGGGCACCTTCCTGGGGTGGGAGGATGGTGTAGTTCTGGGGAGTTGTCTTGGTAGAAATAGGGTTCTCTGGCTATTAACAACTTTGGAAGAGGGCTGAGGAAATTAGTACTACAAAACTAGGTCCTGAAACTATTTCAGTGCTGCTGGCTGCTCTCTAGAAAAGCCTGGCAGGAGAGTATAGAAAAGGTTGGTATCTGAGAAAAGAGTGGAGAGGAATCTGCAACAAGTTGGAGCTCTACCAGTGATTTCAGGATATAAAAGTGAATCCTGCTTTACTTATTTTACCTGTTTGATGAGGTACCTTTTCACTAATGTGAGAAATAAAAACATTTAAGGTCTAAATATCAAATTTATGTTTTTATATGAAAACTAACTAGAAACAGAACCTTTATGTTAATAATACGATAATCTAATGAACAAAATTTTCCATGAAGAAGCTTAATAAGAATGGCATTTGTGTTTCAATGACCTTGAACTATAGGATCTAGATAACCCAGTATTTTGTTTTAAGGTCATGTTGAGCTCATAATTTCTTTTTACAGGCACTAGGCTTATGCATCCTATCACATGACTGAACACGTGCTGTTATATTTTCCATTTTTATTTCCCATTTTATAGTTAAGAAAACTGAGCTGAAAGTAGCAGGCACAGGAATACATAGTAAACAGTGGAAGCAGGATATAAACATACATATTATTCCAGAACCCTAGTTCTTAACCTTGACTATGTCACTGGCAATATGACTATGGGATATAAAATCAGAAAAGACAGTCCTGGGGGATTACCTGGCTGTCTTAGGACTGGGTGCTTTCACTTGGGGCAACCGCATTCAGTCACTGGTCAGGGAACTATGACCCCACAAGTCTTGCCACACAGCAACACAACTTCAAATTTGGGGGGAAGGGGTTTCTATATCATCCTTTTAGAAGACTAACGGGTGATACATTACAAAATCATGGTGGCAGTAGGGACCTGGTAGGCTGGGCTGACTTTTCCCTGGAGGCCCCAGGAGACAACCACCCAGAGCATCTTTCTAGAGAGGCCAGGCAGTAGCCGCTGTGCCCAGGGTTAGCGGGCTTCTGGCGGGCTTGTCAGGCCCAGGCCTGGAAAGGGGTAAGAGCCTGTTTCCCAAGGTTTAACTTCCCTCTGGGCTGCTATAAGATGCTATGAGATGAGGCCAGCAGCTGTAGGTAGGGGCTGAAACTTTGAATACACAGCTGCTCTTCCACCCACCACCCCCCGACACACACACACGCACGCATGCATGCACACACACATGCACGCACACGTGCACACAGAGGCCCCCGGGAGAGGGAGGAAAGAAGATCCTCCTCCTTTGCCTCTGTCCCCCTCTCCCTCCAGCACTGGCTACAGGAAGCTCTGTCTGTCTTCCAGAGACATTGGCAGAGGCACCTTGTCAGTGGGGAATATGTATTCACACACAAGCATGCAGACCTATCTGTTTATATTGCTAGCAAACATCTGGACATAATTTGATCCTTTACTGATCATGATCAGAAATCTTATCTATAGATTAATTTGTAGTGGAGAACATTAACATGCTTGGTTTGGTATTTTTAATCTCATCACTTGTGGCCAAGCTTCACATTGTTTCCATATTATGAGTTGTAGTGTCTGTCTTACCTAGTTTATGCTTTCGCACGATTCACCAGAATTGTCAGTTTTCCTTTTGAATTTACATTTTAATGGTTCATTAAATTAATATATTAGTGGTTCATTCAGTGGTTTTCAAGATGACTAGTCTTTCACCTCAGCTAAAGATTTCAGTAGGCATTTCTCTAAATTAATAATGATGTATTTCACCTTAGAAATGGTGCCAGGGCTTCCCTGGTGGTCCTGTGGTTAAGGATCCACCTTGCAATGCAAGAGACACCAGTTCAATCCCTGGTCTGGGAAGGTCCCACATGCCACAGAACAACTAAGCCCGTGCCCCACAACTACCAATCCTACATGCTACAGCTACTGAAGCCTGTGTGCCCTAGAGCCTGTGCAACAGGAGAAGCCATATTGGCTGCAGTCTTCTCTATGAAATATCACAGGGAACAGGAAAGTCTCCTGACAGTGAAAGAAGAGGGCAACACTCAGGGCCATGAAAATAGGCAACATGGGAGGAAATGTAACAACCAGGAGGTAGCTGCCAGTCAGAACTTTAGGCATTTCTGTTACCTGGAGGCACCTTGACGCTGTGAGGCTCTGAACCAACTCTAGGAACTTTGCCATCAATGAATGGTGCCACACCAGGGAACAGATCCTGGAGCTGCAAGTGCTGGAGCAGTTCCTAACCAGCCTGCCCCAGGAGCACCAGGCCTGGATGTCAGAACATCAGCGAAAGGATGACAGGGAGCCAGTGATCATGTTGGAGGATTTGGAGAAAGAACTTGATGAAACAAGACCGCAAGTGTGATTAAATAGGGGAACATTGGGGAATGAAAGTCCTAGCCAGAGAGAGAAGCATCCATACTACCATGGGAGCAGGTTGCAGAACGCAAGTCTCTACTCACCCTGACTAGATATGATAGTCACTCTGTTTTTACTTCCTCTTGAGGATGGAATAAGACTGTGCTCACTCTTTCTATATTCTGTGCCCTGGGAATTGTTCTGTAAGATGTCTTTCAAAGGTATTAACTCTAGTTCATTCATTAAGTCTATCACAATCCTACCATATCTTGTTTCCAGGCTGTAACCAGAACCTGTGAATTCCAGGTGAAATTTTTCCTGCATTTATCACCCATTTCTTTGAAGCCTGCTCCACAATTGCCTCCCTTGTAAGGTTCCCCACTGTGTCTGCTAGATGTGTGGTACTAGCTTCAAAGCTGACTCATGCAGTCACACAGTGCCTTAGAGCTCAGAAATGTCCTGCTTTCAGAAAGTCATGAGCTTGGTTTAATGCCCTGTTGTCACAGTCTTGAAATTCTTAACTTTATCTTTTAACTTGTGTTTTGTAAGTGAAGTAAAATAGGACAACAGAGCAAGTGCCTGAGCAGAGGATTTGCCCCCATTCACGTGTAGCATTTGTAATCCCCCATGAGCACAGAATTCCAGTGGACCCATAAGTTATGGGAGTTCAGCAAGACTCAAAGTGAGTATGAAGGAGGGAAGAATAGACTACTCTTAAATGTGCTACTTTGGAATGGGAATTATTTTGAGTTGAAATCTATCAACCTGGAAGACTCAGGAAATACTTTTACCTCTCCCTTAACTACTTGAAAGAATTTATATAGGGAGCTTGTGCTAAAAAAAAAAAAAAAGGAGTTATTACCAGAGATAACTTTTTAAATCTGAAAGACCTATATATATGGCAGGGCAAACACCTAGTTACCAAACATCTGCTCTTCTTATCCTCCTGTGAATTACCCTCCTGCCCTTTGAAGCCCAGACCCCTATTCCATTCATTAAGTCAGGATGGCATATAAGCCCCTCTTATCTTCAGGGCTCCTATACATACAAAATTCGATTTGTTTTTCTCCTGAGAATGTTTTATGTCAATTATAAGACCAACCAAAGAACCTAGAAATGTAGAAAGAAAATTTTTCCTCCCCAACACCTGTTTCCTACTCCATTTACCAACTGAAAAAGCCTGCAGAGTGGAAGCATTCTGTACAAGTTACAGCCCATCAGCTGTTGGATTTTTCCAGAAGATTCTGTTCTCTCCCTGGGGTCCTAATTTTCTTAAACCTTTTGTGGTGTCTGCCAAAGAAGTTTTGAAGCACTCATTCCTCTGCGCCACTTGCAACAATTAAACTTTATTGTGCAACAAATGAATTGCCACTCTGTTTAAGACAAGGATGCAGAAATAACAAAAATGAAAAGTCTCACTTTTTAAGGTAGTTTCAAGGAGTTCACTCACTCACTGCCTAGAATAATATAATAAGGATTCTTGCCTAAAGGTAAGAAATCGAATTACCAAGTAGTTTTTATTGTAATTCTTAGGAAAACAGCAAGTTACTACCTGTTGCATTGTAACATTGCAGTGTAATATTTCCTAATTCATCACAGAGTTAGGTAGGAAGGTAGGCATGAACAAGGAGGGTTGCCCTTGCTGAAAAGGATACAAGCTAGTATCCTGTAGAGACCTCTAAACCTCTTCCCAGGCACACACAGGAGAGCTCCCAGATATGCTACAAAATAACCACAGAGATTTTTCCAATCCTGCACATGTGCCCTGGGTATACAGTGGATACAAACTAACCCCAGGGACTTCCTCAAGTAACTCTATGCAGTCAGGAGCCTAGTAAGGGTTCATAAATATTCTATACATATATACACCTGATTATAACAGACTGAATTATGGGAAGACAGATACAACAGATGTGCTGTTATACAACTTGCAAATGTCAATTGACCTTGAGTGTATGCCTATTTGCATTCCTTTTCATTGATTGGTGGCAGGTACAAGCCCTATTTTGCACAGGGCATAACCAAAAGAAGAGACAGGAAGTACAAAAGAGGGGAAGCCAGGGAATATGCACTTCCCTGATGGCACAGATAGTAAAGAATCTACCTGCAAGGCAGATTCCTGAGTTAGATCCTTGGGTCTGGGAGATCTCCTGGAGAAGGGAGTGGCAACTCACTCCATTATTCTTGCCTGAAGAATTCCATAGACAGAGGAGCCTGGCAGGTACAGTCCATGGCATGGCAAAGAGCTGGACATGACTGAACAGCTAATACATAAGGAGTACGTGGAGGCGACCTGCTCCTGTGTTTTGAGAGTTTGTGTCTAATAAAATATCTATCTGCTTGAGCTGAACTGAGCTGCAATTTGCCTGTTGCTTTGAAAACTCTTTAGTCCGTCCAGGAAAAGAAATAAACCAACCTGACAACAGTACTCCTGCGAACTACTAGTATCTCTAATTTGTATAGGAAATGGGTTTATTAAAGTTTAGCTAATAATCCGGAGAACTCAGGATTCCAGTACAACTTGCCCAACTCCATATCAGAAGTTTCTAAGCACTAGCTAGTCCGTGTCCCCAGCTGGACTGTAAGCTTCTTAGGCCAAGGACCATCTCCTTCCTATACTTTCGCTGTACTCCTCGCGCTTATTATAGTACTGAACAGCTCCTAACCAACATTACATTGCATCTGGCTGAAAGAGCCCTGTAAAAGTTTCATTTTTAAATGTCACACATTAAGCCTGGAAACTGTCATTTTAATTTGAGCAGCGGTAGTCTCTGGCTTTGGAGCCCTCACTGTGGCCACGTTGTAGGGATCCCAGGACAGGTCTGGGTAACGCATGCGTGGTGCGCATCCTGTCCCTGGCTGTGCAAACTTGGGCAGATCACTTTGCTCTTTGCCTGTTTCCGGGTTGTAAATTGAGCGGACAACACCGCATTCATCAATGTGCCTTAATCCTTCTCCTTTCCCTTCCTCTCCTTGCGGGTCAAGACTGAGCAATTGTGCTGATGGCAATGCTGCGGACACATTCTGGTTGAGCGATGTGTCTGCCTGGTAAATATATTCAAGTTGATGGAGGTCGGGACGGAGTGGCGGATGCTGTCCAGAGAGGTAGGCTGGCAAGGAGGACGCGTGTACTCGGGTCAGAGAATAGGAACCGAGAAGTGGTGGTCGGAGGGGCAGCACGCCTGGGAATATCCCCGCCCGCCGCCCCGAACAGGACAGGGCCTAGGAACTCAAAGCCGCGGAGCTGGCCTTCAGATCCTCTTTTTAAGAGGAGAGTTATGAATCAAAACGCCACAGACATGGGTGTCCCTATGTGCAGACCTCGCGGGGGGCTCGGCCACACTGAATGGCTCGGACCTTTCCTCCGAAGCCTCCGGAAACGGGGGCGCACGGCCGGGCAGGGTTAGCGGACGCACTTCCGCTGGCGGCAGGTCTGAGGCTCCGAGGAGCTGGATCGGTAAGCGCGGCCGCCTCCCTTGGGCTGGGATAAGACTGGCGGGAAGACAGCCGGACGCCGCGGTGGGACCCCCAGGTCGGTCGGGCGCGGGTCGGGGGAGTCACTTCCTTGCTCTTGCCGGCGCTGGAAGTGCCAGCGGAGACTCCACAGGAGCCCGCCCCACTGCCGGCCAGCGCTCCAGAAAGTTTCTAAGACTAGGACTCCTGGGTCAGTGATGTTAACCTGAGGAGTTCCATGAGGGCCATCCGTTTGTCCAACTCGGCCGCCTACTCCCGGAAGCCTTTTATGGACAGCCAGGTCCTTGTGGCTTAAAGGATACACAGACAGTCAACACTTCCCGAGGCTGGGGAACCGTGATGTGCCAGTGCGGTAAATGGGAAAGGGATTTGTAGTCTGGTTGGTTAACTTACTATATTGTCTTATTCGCCCGAAGATTTAAACTAGTAGAAGAGAACACGTGTTAGTGGACTCCATATCCTTTATCTTGAGTTATTCCTGAAACAGTCTTTCTCCTACGGCTGGGAAAGTGGAGGTGTTTACCAAAGCTGCCCAGTGAGTTAAAGATGCTAGGTGCAGAGAAGGCACTAGAGGGCCTCCTTGCGTGATCTTCTGTTCTGTGTCCGGAAACCTAGAAGTGTACCAAAGCTCTAGGCGTCATTCCTGGAGCCAGCGGCTGGGTGACCAAGTCACAGTGGTAACTGCAGCACTCTAAACTGAGGTCTTACTAAGTGCCAGGCACTGAATTTAATTTATCCTCAAAAAGACGCTATATAATACGGTCTGCTGTTTAGTTAATCACATTGTAACATTTTTCTGGTTTTGGAATTGTGCTGTGGTTATGTAAGATGTTAATATTAGGGGAAGCTGAGTGAAGGTTATAGGGACTGTTGTGTACCTTTTTTGAAAAATTTTTAGTAAGTTTAACATTATTTCAAATAAAACATTGTTTAAAAGCCTCTAAGGTATTTTTACAGAGGGGAAAGCAAATTTGGAGATGTTAAGCTATCATGTATAAGAAAACATGACAGGATTCAAGCCGAGGTCTTTTGGAATCCAAAGCCTGTGCTCTTAATCACTGTCCACCATGCTAATCAGTTGTTACTTCACATTTCCCTAAACCCACAGGACCTGCTTAAGTCTCCTATTACATAGAAAACTGAAAGCATCTACACCCACACAGCCTGCTACCTACGCTAACGTAATTTTAGTACTCAACTGTCTTCCCTAAGTGTGACTTCACTATTCTATTTCTTCAACAACATAACTTTACTTGCCCTAAAAGATAAAAGTTGCTGATAATTATGTGGTTTAACAACTTACCCCTCTATCCATTTATGTGAACATCAAACACTTCAACTTTCAACAGGTAGGATTTAGACTTTTCAAAACCTTCAACTGAAAATCTTCACCTATACTACTTTATCACTATCCTTGCCCAATCCTTATCCTGCCTTGAAAGATCTGCCGTAAGCCCCCCAAACCTCGTAAATATTCTGACTTTGCCTTCTCCCCTAGGAGGTACTAGCAAGACTATCAAAGTGCTCTCCATTTCTCATAAGAATAAACTTAACTTGGCCATATCAACTAATTGTTTTGCTGTTACTTGGAGGAATAAGGCATCCAACAATATTCCCAGTATTGTCAAAAATGCTGTCTCTTGACAAACATTCCTTCTTCTATTTAGAAAAAGGTATTAATTGCCTTAAACTTTTATTTTTTACATTTTCTTTATTGAATTCTCTTTAATTTGGGATTGAGCTTCCTTTTTCTTCTAGAACAGAAAGATTAAACTTAGTGTGTGAGCTCAAATGTTGAATCAGCCTTCCTATCTTTTTAACTGTGGTTTCTGTAACCCTAGGAGTGTGCCCTAAAGGATAACACTTGTAGCAGCAATCCTCCTCTTGGCCCATTGGAGCAAGAATGGCCACTGGTTTTCATCTAGAGGTTCCTGAAGAGTCAATAAGGGCTCTTTGAAGTAACTAATAAAAAGGGCATGCTGGGAATAAGAGATCTGGCCCAAAGGAGAGCAGCCAAAACAACCAGGAGTTATTCCACCACCGCTTCCCATAGTTCTGCTACCAAGAGACTCCTTGGCCCTTTGCAGTCTTGTGCCAGCTCTGGGTATTCTACTATGAGCGGTAAGGCCTGAGATACCCACCAAGGAACAGACGTTGGACTTGGTGGTGCTGGTGCAGCTCAACCATACTGCCTGAGGAACTGCAGGACTGGATACAGAAGCAATCCAGAGAGTGGGGAGGAGGCAGCGGCTATGCTGGAAGATCTGGAGAGGAAGTTAGATTAATCAGGCCAGCGGATAGGAAAGGGCCCTATGCTCAGTGGGGACAGAGTTGGGAAGTGGGCATCCAGGCTGGTCCTTTGTGGGATTTCTGGGGATCATTTACTCTGTGGGCCCTTCAGTTGCCTAAATGAGCTTGCTTATCCTCAGGTTTCAACCCACGCCTGGACACAGGAAGTGCTTTCTGAGACATCGGTACCTCTGGATCCAGCTAAGAAAGCAGCATATCTCCAGCCTCACACCATGGAAATCCAGTTTAAGGACCCTCAACACCAACAGGATTGTGGTTAGTGTTGACACGTAGGTCATATAGCTCCCCTGAAGACCTTAGAATTGTTCATCATTCAGCAGATGTATGTTAAGTACCTGTTATATTCCAGGCACTGTGCAAGGCACTGGGCGTAATAAACAAAGTGGACATGATCTGTTTTCATGGAGCTTACAACAGTCTGATGACAGAGGCATTAAACAAATAACCACACAAATAAATATGCTGTGATAGATTGTATATGGGGAGAGAGGTATGTCAGAGGTCTCTTTAAGAAAATAACACGGTAACTAATCCTAAAAGTAGAATAGGAATCAACCAAGTGAATAGTAGAGGTGGAAAGCATTGTAGGCCAGAAGAGCATGTGCAAAACCAAGTGGGAAGGAAATTGGTGGGTTTGAAAGATGGCCAGTGTGACTGTCTCCAAGCTGTCTTTTCCTTCATTTAGTGTCTTTTGTCACACAAAGCAAACCACCTTTCCCTGCATTATTTCAACATGGTTATAAATTCTGCCCTTTACTCTAAAAATGTGACTACTACAGGGAGAACATGGCTTGAATGGGATCTCTCACTTTTGTTTTTCAGAAACTATTGATCATTGAGGAGGTGGCCACATCTCTCACCCTGAAAGAGTGGGGGTTGTTGGGACTCTACTTAGAGGAACTTCTGTAGGAAAGACAGGCAAAGAAATTATGGGATCATGCTTTCCTTGGATATGGTCAGATGGGAGGCTAGGGTCTGCTAAAGAACCTTCTCTGTGTTACTACTGTTTTCTTGAGAATCTCAGTCTCAAATGACCCACAGAGTGTAGTTTCAGGTTTGACAGATTCCCAGTGTTCTTTGTAAGAAGAGTAATAATGTCTCTGTGAGCTAAAGCAATTTCTGTCTCTTTTACCCTGTGTGTCTAAAGTCTAATCTCATTGTTCTTCATATTTGGACATGTCATACTTCTCTTTGGCTGATCTCTCATGTTTTAATATGTCTAAAGGTCTTCCCATTATTCCTCAGAACACTCTGCACAAAGTTATTTCATGGTTCCATCTTGATACCTGCCACTGCTGGCTTCCTGTCTTGTTTTGTTACTCCCACAGTTTCTGCTCTTTCATCCCTCTCTACCCAACTTGTGGCCTCCCTGATGAACTCGCTCTTATCTGAGATCTTCTCCTATTGTTCACAGCGATTATTCGTTAGATCCCTCATCATCCTCCCTGATTTTTCTCTACTCTTTTCTTGAATCACTCCCTCGCCATCCAGTGGCTGCTAATCTCTTCCTTTGCCATCTCCCAATCTCCTCTTCAGATGTTGTAAAATCATTTTGTTAGTATATTGAAGCTGTGTATGTCTAATAAATGTTTCATTTTATTTCCTGTATATTTCAGTGACATTTGAATACTGTGTTTTTTACTTCAGATGATGTGATAAGAATAAAGAAAGAAGAACCGGATGAAAAGCAGGAACTTACTGTAGATACGGAATCCCAAGAAAAGTTTTCAGACCAAATCAATGGAGAGGCTTTTGAATGTGGAGAAACCCAAGAACATAAAGGATGGATGGAAAGATATCAGAGAAACACTTCAAATGAGAAGAGATATAAGTGTGATGAATGTGGGAAAAGATTCACTCTAAAGTCAAGCCTCATTAGACATAAAAGAATCCACCCTGGAGAGACATCCTATTCGTGTAATGTATGTGGCAAAACTTTCATTCAGAGCTCACAGCTTACTGACCATCAGAGAATACATAGCCAGTTAAAACCACATCAGTGTGATGAGTGTGAGAAAGGCTTTTATTACAGGGCACATCTTGTTCAGCATCAAAGGATCCACTCTGGAGAAAAACCCTTCCAATGTAATGAGTGTGGGAAAGCTTTTCATTACAGTGCAGGCCTTATTCGACACCAGAGGACCCACACAGAAGAGAAACCATACCAGTGTAATGACTGTGGGAAAGCTTTTCATTATAACTCGGGCCTTATTCGACACCAGAGGACCCACACAGGAGAGAAACCATACCAGTGCAACGACTGTGGGAAAGCTTTCTGTCTGAGCTCACATCTGATACAACATCAGAGAGTTCATACTGGAGAGAAGCCATACCAGTGTAGTGAGTGTGGAAAAAGCTTCAGCCAGAGCTCAGGCCTCTTCCATCACCAGAGAAGCCACAGTGGGGAGAAACCATATGAATGTGATGAGTGTGGAAAGGCTTTCAGTCATAGTTCAGCTCTTGTTGGACACCAGAGAATGCACAGTGGAGAGAGGCCCTATGAGTGTGATGTGTGTGGGAAAGCTTTCGGCTATAGCTCGCATCTTCTGGGACACCGAAGAATCCACACTGGAGAGAAGCCATATGAATGCCATGTGTGTGGAAAAGCTTTCCGACAGAGCTCACACCTCATTGTACATCAGCAAATCCACACTGAAGAGAAGCCCTGGTAATGTCCAGAGTTATTTTCCATCTATGCTCATTCCTGTGGGACATCAAAAAAGCACAGCTAGATGTAGGGAACTCTGTGATCACTATTGCAATTTCAGCAGTCACTCGGAAATACTTATAGAAGCTGAGATAGACAAGCACCTGATGGTTTACCAAACAAGACACTAATGTTCTGCCACTAAGCACATCATGTGATGAACTAGGACATTGGAAGGGTTCATTTCATTATTCTGAAACTTTTCTTCTCTGAAGCAAGTGGCTCCAGCAATCTAAATGTTCTGTTAGACATATAACAAGATTTTAAAGATTACTACTGTTTCTTTTCTCCTTCCCTTTCCATTCTTCCCCTTTTTTTGGAGTTGGCTAAAGTATGAATTTAGAATTAACATCTGATCTACACTTAAAAAAAAAGACTATGAGTTTTTGGTTAGCTTGATAAAATATATTAGCCTATGAATTATATACACTAAAAATATTGTGTACTACAAAAGCTATTTTGTAATATTGGAATGAACTATGACTTGCATGGGTAGGATAGGTTAGGGGTGGTGGAGCAAGATTTATCTTGCAATTTTCCAGTGACCTTTCACATCTTAAACCAGAGAGAGCAGACAGGCCAATGGGATCTATTTAGCCTGTGCATGCATTTTTCTCACAAAGTATGATTATCTCTTGGTAATATAAAATTATTGCCGCTACTTAAAGAGATTTTACATAAAATCTGACTTTCCAGATTCTCTTATAAAAAAATGCATGATGTGGCAACACCAGGCACCACATTCCCATGTGGGAAAGTTGACTAGAGCTGACTATTGTATAATGAGACATGGTCCCCACTGCCGCATAGCTTCCTACTGTCTTATATACCTCCCTTCATTCATTTTGCCTGTGTGACCCCTACCACTGCCTTAAGGGTTTCTCAAGGAGGCTTCAGGGCTCTAGGTCCCTTACCACCAAAACAGCTTCACTTTAATTAGTTTTATATATTGGCCTCCCAAATAAGATTTCTCTGAAGATTTTCTGCTAACAACAGTTTGAAGATTTAGATTAAATAATAAATTTTAAAATGTAACTTTTGAGCACCTGAAGGTAGAGGAAAGCCACTTTAAAATTTTCTTTAGATACAATTTATAGGTAATCTATTGAAAGTCAATAATAATAGCTTCTAAAGAAAAGCTATGACAAACCTAGACAGCATATTAAAAAGCAGAGACATTACTTTGCTGACAGAGGTCTGTCTAGTCAAAGCTATGGTTTTTCCAGTAGTCATGTATGGATGTGAGAGTTGGACCGTAAGGAAGGCTGAGTGCCGAAGAATTGATGATGCTTTTGAACTGTGGTGTTGGAGAAGACTCTTGCAAGAGTCCCTTGGACTGCAAGGAGATCGAACCAGTCAGTCCTAAAGGAAATCACCCATGAATATTCATTGGAAGGACTGATACTGAAGCTCCAATACTTTAGCCACCTGATGCAAGGAGCTGACTCATTAGTAAAGACCCTGATGCTGGGACAGATTGAAAGCAGGAGGAGAAGGGGATGACAGAGGATGAGATGATTGGATGGCATCATTGACTCAATGAACATGAGTTTGAGCAAGCTCCAGGAGACGGTGAAAGACAGGGGTGCAGCCCTGGGGAGTCACAAGGTCAGGCACAACTGAGCGACTGAACAACAAAAACAACAAACCAAATTCTTAGAGACCAGTTCATCAGGTGAGATGAAAAACATAAAAACAAATATGAAGAGAATCAACATTTAAGTGAAAAATTGAAAAAATGCAGGTCCAAAAGTAGAGATCATTTGGAGAAGAGAACCGTTGAAATGTGAAGCATTCAGTAATAGAAGCAGTTGTGGGAAAGCAGTGGGTTAAGGTCTGAATGGGCAAGTGGGGAGGGGTGAAAAGAAAAAGCAGTTAAGAAAGGGAAAGACAGGGATAAACTGAGAGAAGGAAAGCAGCGGAGAGAAGTTAGGGGAAAAGGGGAAAGGTCAGAGACATTAGAAAAAGAAATTTCAAACAGGAAATGGAAGCAATGAAAACATAAGTGAAAAAGCAATCTGTAAAGAAACATGAAGGGGAGATTGAGGCTTTGCAGAGGCTGGAGTACTTGCTTTGATCATGGGTCTCCCAGTGACTTCAGAAAAATAATCAATCCTTTATTTCCATGCCATGTAGGCCAAATCCCTCATATGAAAGAACTGAACCTGTATTCACTAATGTCTTTATGAACCACTCAGGATCCTGGCCCTGTGTGCGTCTCTGAGATTTGAGACATAGGACACTTCTCTTTTCTCTACCACACTCTAAGCCCCAACTTGTTGAACTCTGCTCAGCCTGGACGCTCCTTCTTAGCAAAACCAACAAAGCAGGATTCTCTTGAAGAGCAATAATATATTCTTGGCCTCTCTGGGATGCATTGTTGTTGTTCAGTCACTAGTCATATCCAACTCTTTGGGACCCCATGGACTGTAGCCTGCCGGGCTCCTCTTGTCTGTGGGGTTTTTCCAGGCAGTCATTCTGGAGTGGATTGCCATTTCTTTCTCCAGGGGATCTTCCCAGTTCAGGGATCAAACCTGCATCTCCTGCATTGGCAGGCTGATTCTTGAGCTCTGAGCCACCAGGGGAGCCCCTCTCCCTCACCTAACCAACCACAAATCGTTATCTTGGCTCTATTTTCGGACAGTATCCAGGACCTTGCCACTTAGAACTCCTACTGCCCTAGGCTTGCCTATTCCATTAAAGAGGAAAAAGCATGTTGAGAGATAGTAATACCCATTATGAATTAAATAATATCTGCAAAAGGAAAAGCCCTTTGCAAACTATAACAATAGTAGCTACCATTTGTTGAACGCCAGTGTCCAAGACACTGTACCAAGCACCTTATAATATATCTCATGTAAACTTTCCATCTCTTCTATGAGCACTATTATATCTGTGTCTACATATAATTTTTTAAATGAACAGTTTTATTATATTACAGTTAAGCAGCCTACTAAAATGTTTATAGAATAAGATCACACACTATTTTAAACATTTAAAGTAGCAAAAATTGGAAGTAAATGACAACAAAATGTCAACATATAGGTGATGAAAATAGATTCCTTTTCTTTCTATTTTATATTCCAAATGGAAAAGTTAGAATTCATCTATACATGTAAACTCTTTAAAAATTAAAATGCTACAGAATATCTGAGCCTTCCTGGAGATGATTCTTTAATAGTTTTGTGTTTGTTTGTTTTTTTTCCGTTATTTAGTACTGACTTAGATTTATCAATTTCTTGAATGAATTTTGGAACTAATGGTTTTTCACTAAGAGTTTTAAAAATTTTCGGTAGCATACTTATTTCCTCACCTGCTATTATTTGATGAGATACTGATACCTGATGAGGAAACATTGATAATTTTTCTCTCAGTTGGATTTACCATGGGTTTGTTGTTTTTATGGGCTTGTTTACAAAGATTCCATTCTTAGATTTATTTATTAACATGACTTTTTCTGTTTTCTAATTCATTTACTTCTCCTTTTATCTTGATTTCTTCTCTAACCTTTGGGGTTTCTTCCTCATTCTTTTTCTGATTTCTTGAGTTGAATTCTTAGTTCATTTTGTTTCTGTCTGTGTAAATAGTGAAAGCAAGTGAGTGTATATATCTACCAAGTACTGATTTTTTTTAAGTTGTCAACTATTGTTTTTTCTGGGTTTTTATTTTGCTTTATTTCTTAGTCTTTCTGGGAGATATAACTAGAAGGGGAAGAGGGAAAGCTCTCCTTGTCATACACAAACTGTCTGCTTATATCTTGGTAAAGAGGTCAGAGAGGCTTTATCCCAGTAGAGGAAGGACATACCTAAGCCAACAGCAGAGACAGAATTTTAACAGGATATCCATGACAATGGTTGGAAGCCTCATTTTGTCTGGTGTTCAACCATTCAACCGCAGCCAGTGCTCCAAGGGACTGGTGAGTTGATTCTCTGAAGCTGACGAGTGACTGAAATCAGGGGTATCTGAAGAATACTCAGCTACTCAGGAAGTTCATGGCCTGTAGTGAGGTTTGTGTTTGAAAACCTGGTAAGAGAATTTTTTTTTTTTTAATTTTTATTAGTTGGAGGCTAATTACTTTACATCATTACAGTAGTTTTTGTTATACATTGATATGAATTAGCCATGGATTTACATGTATTCCCCATCCCAGTCCCCCCTCCCACCTCCCTCTCCACCCGATCCCTCTGGGTCNTTCATCTCTACACCCTTTCTAAATGTTCCACCTAGGTTTACTTGATTACTTATATTTACCCTTCAGCAGCACAGGGAAGTTGGATCTGATTTTCATCTTAAAGGAGTTACATTCCTCTACAGGATAACTTTCAGGCAAAGAATTTCAGAGAGAGAAAAGAGACATTGCAAACAGGAAAATTATTTGTAAGTTGTGAAAAATAAGGTTTAAAAAAATTATCTTTTTCTGTTTACACCAGTATTAGGCTTTTATAAAAAAAAATTAAATATAGTGTATTTAAAAAGTGCGGGTTTTCTTTTATCCCAAGTGATAATCATTGAGAACGCATTTAAGATGATTATTTTACAAAAATGATCATATCATATACTGTTTGTTTACTCATATGCCTTTGGCATCTTATAGTTTTTACTTTTAAAAATGATTGGGCATGTAGAAATTTTAATTCCCAAATGTTAGATGTTTGGATTTTCCAATATAAAAAATGTTTGTGTACATATTCAAACATTTGTAAAACTATTTTATATGGATAATTCAAAGCTAAGTTGCTGGATCAAGAGGTATGGACATACTAATTTTAACAGCTCTTGCCTTCCAAAAATTTACAACTAACAGTGCCTCTATTTCCACATACTTTTCAATATGGAATATTATCAGTCTTTGTCTTTCAGAATCCAGGATTTTAAAAATCTCATTGTTTTAATGTAAATTCTTTAATTATCAATTTTGAATATGTTTTAACAGTCATTGTTGTCTATCAAAAACTGTGTTCTAAAAATGCTGACTTATGTGCTTTGCCAATTTTTCTATCGGCTTGTTCATGTTCTTTTCTTTTTCAGAGGTCTTTACTTATTAGGAAAATCAGCACTGTGTCTTTGATGTGTGTGGCATATTATATATGTGTGTGTGTGTGTGTGTGTGTGTGTGTGTATACACACACACACAGAGCTTATATTTTAGGTTTTCTTTTTCCCATTCAAAAATTCTAAATTTTTACATCACCAGTTCCATTTATCTTTCTCTTCGTGACTTTTCAGTTATGTCTTTAGGTTTTTTATGCCACACTTAGGCCTTCCCCATTCCAAGGTAGCAATAGTTTCACACTTACAAGTTCATCTTTAACACAGCAGGCAGAGAAATCTTTTCAATGCCTAAATCTGATCATGCTACTCCTCTGCTCAGAAATTCTGAATGGCTTCTTTTGGAGTACCAAGTAATATCCTTATACTCACAACAATCACATTTCTCTCTCTATACTCCTAACACCTTTTTCTCCTTCAGCTCCAGTCACAGAAATCTCCTTCCTGTTCTTAGATTATTTCAAACACAGTTCACTCTCAGCCTTTGCATTTTCTAGCCTTCTCCCAGAAACACCTTTGCCCCTGATGGCTCATTTACTCATCTTCGTGAGTCTTTGCTCAGAAGTCAGTGTACTGGTGAGGTCCTTGGTGACCACCCTATTAGAATTGCATTATTACTTCATTCTCATCCCAAACTCCATATTTTCTTTATTTTCTCCTGAGTACTAACATCTACCACCTAACAATACATTTTTCTTGTTTGTTTATTGCCTGCCTCACTCGCCCTCCTTTCTGCCACCACCACCCACCCACCCACCCACCCAAAGGCATTGTTCTGCTTTAAACTACAGTTCCAGCTTGCAGAACATTGCCTGGCAAGGTAGGTGAATAAACAATATTTAGTAAGAAAGCGAAGAAGGGAAAAAAAAACACTTAAGCTTTCTTACCCATCATATTGGTAAAGATCAAAATATTTTGTAACATTATGTTGACAAGTATAAATTAACATCACAAGTGAGTTCTAAGATTAGTAATTTGGCAGTAACAAAAATACAAATGCTCCAACTCTGCACTCTAGTAAATCCTTAGCTCTAGAAATATATACTATGGATATACCCTTAAACACAAGAAGTTATGTGCAGAGTAATTTATTGAAAAAACCTACATAACCATCAACAGGGTCACTGTTAATAAATTATGGCATAGTTGAACTATGTGATTATTTTTCTTTAAAAGAAAAAAGAGCAAAATGAAAGAAGTCTTTTATGTACAAATTCCAGAATCAATTAGTAGAGGGGGGGGGGGGAAGTTGGAGAACTGCTACCGTGTGTGTGTGTGTGTGCGCGCGCGCGTAATTTACAATGTTGTATTAGTTCTAGGTGTATAGCAGTGATTCAGTTATTACATATATATTTTTTTTCAGATTCGTTTCCACTATAGGTTATAATTATTTATAAATATTGAACCCTGTGAATGCATTACATATTCATATTATTTAATAATTGAGTCAAAAAATTTGAGAGGGAACTTAAAAAAAATGGCAAAGAAAACATCAGCGAGCGCTTAAGTCCCATAAGTCAGATGTTCACAAGTGGGGTCCTCCACGAGCTAGGATTAGCTCCACCGAGGCGAGGCTTCCTAGAGCGGCCCGGAAGTGCGTGGCTGAAAGCAGCGGCGCGTCGATTGGTCGGTCAGTCTTCGTTCGGCCGCCCCAAAGGACGCTAACTGTCGCACCTGTTCCTCCTGGCGTGAGGTGAGTCTCTCCCGGCTCCTAAGTGGAGGAGGAGACAGGGCACAGTTGTAAGCAGCAACCCCCTCTCCACACCTCCCCCTTCCAGGCTGCCCCACCCCTCCAAACAGAGCTACGAGGGAGGACTAGGGCCAACATGCCCGGAGAACGGCGCTAAAGGGGAACAGTGATTGTGAGTTGCTCTGCGAGGGTACTTTTATAACCCTCCTCCTGAATTGGAGCATGTACCTCTCAACCACTGAATCCTACGGACCGGTCCACCTCAGGTTGTGGAATGAAAAAGCCTTTTAACAAAGTTATTAATATTCAGCGTTTACTCAATGCTTGCTGCCAGGCCAAGGGCTTTGACTACTTATTTACACATCAACCCTATGAGAAACCTGAGGATTTTTACAGATGAGGATCTAGTAACTTGCTTTAAATTACACAACAGCCCAGATTCAAATTCATGCTCCTCGTTCAGTGTTCTTATTTACAGCCTCATATCAGACTGGGCTTCTCTGGTGGCTCAGACGGTAAAGAATTTGCCTGCAGTGCAGGAGACCCAGGTTCAATCCTTGGTCGGGAAGATGCCCTGGAGAAGGGAATGGCAACCCACTCCAGTATTCTTGCCTGGAGAATCTCATGGACAGAAGAGCCTGGTGGGCTACAGTCCATGGGGTCAAAAAGAGTCGGACATGACTGAGCAACTAACATGTATATCAGATTGTTTATTCAGTTTGGTAGCTTCCTTTTATTAGTGTTTGTGTTCACAACAGTTTTTGTCATTTCTCTATGGCAATAGGTTTTTCTCTGAGACAAGATTCTGAGAGATTCCCCTGGACTCAGTCCCAGATAGAGGATTAATCTCCTGAAAAACAGCCCAGAATGACCACATTTCTGGAACTTGAAGAACAAAAAGGACTTCTAATAGTTAAAGCAGAAGACCATTACAGGGGACAGGACTCCATCTCACAAAAGTCCAGTCCTCACAGAAGGGAACTCTTCAGGCAGCACTTCAGGAAGCTCTGCTATCAGGACGCACCTGGACCCCGTGAAGCTCTCACCCAGCTCTGGGACCTTTGCCGCCAGTGGCTGAGGCCAGAATGCCATACAAAAGAGCAGATTTTAGACCTGCTGGTGCTTGAACAATTCCTGAGCATTCTCCCCAGGGACCTGCAAGCATGGGTGCAGGCACACCATCCAGAGACTGGAGAGGAGGCAGTGACTGTGCTGGAGGATCTGGAGAGAGAGCTTGATGAACCTCGAAAGCAGGTGGGAAGGCTGTGGTCATTTGGCTATGAGTTTTCAGGGTATATGCACCCAGCCAAAGCAAAAGGCATATGCAAGAATATATTTTAATATGTTACCCTAGAGAAGAACAAGGCTTAGGGACTGACACTGCCCGTGTCAAACAACTGAAGTGTGACTGAGTAAAAAGAGACACTAGGCTGATTCTATGTCAATTTGGAAGGCTCGGATCAGTGAGAAGCTACAGGACGGCAAATAGGTGTCAGAGGAAAACAAAGAATTTTCTAACATTCATGGTTACCTATACACAAAATGCTTCCCTGGTGGCTCAGATGGTAAAGAATCCACCTGCAGTGCGGGACACCTGGGTTCAGTCCCTGAGTTGGGAAGATCTCCTGGAGGATGGCATGGCAACCCACTTCAGTATTCTTGCCTGGAGAATCCCCATGGACAGACATACCTGGTGGGCTACAGTCCACGGGGTAGCAAAGAGTGACACATGACTGAGTGACTAAGCACAACACATACATAAAACAGGCTACCTTGTAATAAAAAACTCCCCTTCAAGGAGGGGTTCAAGTAGATAACAAGGATATTGCAGAACAGCACTGTCTAATTGTGACCCATTCACATTTAATACCTGTAATTAAATATACATTTAATATATGGTAATTAAATATAATGTGAGCCACATATGTAATTTAAATTTTTAGTAGCCACATTTGTGAAATTAAATATATTTACCCAAAATATGTAATCATGCAATCAATATTAAACATGAAGTATTTTACATTCTTTTTTTTTTCAGTTTTCAAAATTTGGTATGTATTTTAAATATGTCCATTTGTATTAGCTATATTTCAGGTGCTCAGTAACCATGTTTGACTAGTGGCTATCATATTGGACCACACAGTTATAGAAGCTGCTGCTGCTGCTAAGTCACTTTAGCCGTGTCTGAGTCTGTGCAACCCCATAGACAGCAGCCCACCAGGCTCCTCTCTCACTGGCATGCTCTAGGCAAGAACACTGGAGTGGGTTGCCATTTCCTTCTCCAATGCATGAGAGTGAAAATTGAAAGTGAAGCCACTCAGTCATGTCCAACTCTTCGCGACCCCATGGACTGTAGCCTACCAGGCTCCTCCGTCCGTGGGATTTTCCAGGCAAGAGTACTGGAGTGGGTTGCCATTTCCTTCTCCTAGTTATAGAAGAAATGCCCCCATTTGGTGGAGTTGAGTTTGATGATATTTAAGGTATCTCAAGTCCCAAGACTATGATTCTGGGCCTCTGCAGATCACTGTTAGAGACACTGAATTTTATTCTCCAGTGTCCTGAAGTGTAGATTAACCTCTGTCTCTTCGTTTTTAGTCATTATTGCCATTTGCAGTTGAATGATAATTTGTCCTCTTTTCTGTGGCCCTGTTTCCTGGCACATGCTTCTTCTGATCTTGTTTCTGAAATTCTTTCTGTTCTTTCACAAAATCTACCTTACACACCCAAACATACTTAATTTTTCCCAGGTTCCAGGCAATTCAGAAAGACAGGACGCACTTTTGGACAAGTTGGCCCCCTTGAGGAGGCCGCATGAGTCATTGACTATCCAGCTTCATCCCAAGAAGACCTGGCAGGAGCAGAAATCTGGGGAGGCCCAAAGAAATGGTAAGGTATAGGCGTGTGTGTATAGGAAGGAAGAGCTGGTTCCTTAGGTTAGAGATGAGCTTCCTCATTTTCTTCTTCTCCTTTTTAAGTTTTTCTGCTTGTCCTTCACTTCGCTGTGGAAGATTTTATCTCCCTTCCCCCCTTGACCTTTATCATTAGACTTAGGTGCTATTTTTTAATGAGTCTTATGGGCAGGAGTTTCAGGAGGTAGAAGCTGAAAGATACAGATCATTTTAATAAGCTTTAGTAAGCTTAACTGTGTGGAATCTTCACTTATGTTCTGTAAGAAGCCATATAAAAAGTTTCTCTCCTCACCTTTGGGAGATGACAGGACATGCACTTATAAAATAGTGCACAATAGTAATTAACATGTCAACATACTAAATTCTATTGTGTAGAACACAGAGGTTATTACTATTATGATTAATGGCTTGTCTGTGCAAAACTTTAAATTCTAGATGGTCTTTCCTTATGTTTTTATACAAATACTTCTGGACAGTTTCACTCTGCTTCGCATTAGTGTAAGTCCAGAAAAATACACACTTCCTATACCTAAAATTGTAGAGATTTACATATGTGCTGCTACCAAAATAACATTTCAAGGGAATACTATGCAGTTAAAATATGAATTGTATTTTCTAATTCTAATCTACTGAAAGATGCCTCATGAAATCTAGCTATCCTGTGAGGCCTGTGAATTCTTAGAGAAGTCCATTTTGTCTGCATTCAACAGTGTGAATATGACTTTTTTTAAAGTACCACCCTGGCAACTTTTTAAATCTATGTACCCTCCAACCAGGCTCCCCACCAAAAAACAGACAAGGAAAAAACAAAACAACTACCACACACACACACACACACACACACACACACACACAACCCTGTAGATATCACAACAAATACATTTGAAGAAATGCCTCTCAACTTTATTAAAATAATATAATATCTGGTCCAAATCCTCATTTTACAGTTGAACAGATGTACCCACAGTGGCTGTAACTTTTCTAGGTTTCCACAAGAGTTAGAGGGAGAGCTGGGGCTCCTGCCTACTAGTCCAGAACAATGTTTTAAAACAATCATGATAATAACCCAATAAAGCCAGTGTCTTTTATATAAATTTATTATTAAATAGACTTTTTAATGCAGGATCTTGTTTTAAAAATTTCATTCTGTCCATATCAGCAAGATTATGAATATTATCTGTTGGCTAGGGTGATGGAACTCATCTCTCTAAACATAACTTGGAATTATAATTGAGGTCATTTAATACAGAATTATCTTCATATATGAGAGAACTTGGAGAACTGAGTGTCTTGCAGTTCTTTCTAACACATTGTCAGGTATTTCAAAGGAAACTTTTTGGATATGCTAATAACCCACAACACTGACTCTCTGGTAGCAGTAAGTGATAGTCTCCCTAACTTTGTTCCTGTTTCACTTCACTCAGCATTTAACCTTGTCCTCTCCCTCTAGACTGTCAAGCAAGTTGTACAAATGGTAATCAGATGGTTCTATGGACATATCCTCATCCCAGTGACCAGCAGAACTGGGCTCATCTGGAATGATAATGCAATTCATGGATGTGCCAAAATAAAATTGGAAGAATAGCCCTGGCAGAAGATGCAAAAATGAAATAATCCTAATCTTGTCAGTTCTGAAACAGGATCTTCTAATATCATATTATCCTGGGATTAGCTGGCAACTGGAAAAGATACATCAACAGAGCCCTGAAACTCCAGTTGGCCAAAGAAACTTCATGTCCCTGAGATGAGAAAAGTTCACATTTGACAGTTTCCATACAATTTTCTTTACATTATTCAATTGCAGATATAATGGAGAGGGTTGAATTGCTAACCCTATATATATTTTTTTTAATTCTTTTGAAGTCCTGGTGAGGGATTTTCTCCAGACTTTTCTTGAAGTCATGGGAGAGAGATTCATCCTAAAGACTGGTAGATTCCTCTGAAGGTAGTAACTGACTACAAGTGCCAACTCTTTGTGTTCTTTAAAAAAAAAAATACTCATCTTCATCAGTAAGCCGCCAAAAACCAACTATCAGTGCCTCCAGTACGTAAAAGAAGCAGCTGAGCCAAGGTGTTGATGTTTGAAAATACTTTCTTAATGGTATAGTGGTATCTCCAACTTCCATGATTTGCTTAATGATCATTAACCTACTAATACTAACTTAGCAATACTTCTGCCACACATTATAATTTTCCACATGCTTTATCATACATTTCCTCATCTGATCAAACAATAGGTAAGGAGGAGGATACAGAGGTGATATGGAACCAAATGGTTATGATCTGCCAACATTTAAACAGTTATCAGTAGAGCCAGGACAGAAATCTTGACCTTCTGGCTCTAATCCAGTCCTTGTAATTCTAGCCAGAGATAAAATGGTATTTAGATTCCAAAACAATATCATTTTAGAGCAAATAACCAAACTTTTTTTTTAATCTATTGCCTGATTAAAAATATGTATTGTAAGGAAGAAGGTAAAATTTGAGGAAGATTTGGTAGCAAGAGGACATTGTGATGACAGTGAAAAGTGGAGTTCACTCAGTCCAGAGCCAGTGTTTTCCATTCCCAGCCCAGGCACTGAAATGTTCTGGTAGCTCTTGCTGTTTCTCCCATCATGCCAAGTGGACCACTGAAAACCATGTGATTAAATGATTGTTGCACAGTTGGGATTCCTAGACCTGTTGAGATGGAGGTTTCAGCATAACCAAACAGGTGACATCCAACATTAGACCCTAGGACTACCCCCTCCAAATCATTAAAACACCTACTTCCTTATAAAATTTATTGAGTACTTGCTGTGTGTCAAGTTCCATGCTAAGCTTGGGGTTGAGGATATGGGATCAGGAAGAGGGAAAAGAGCACATCCAATTTAGGAGGTTAGGGAAGACTTCTGGAGGAGACAGCATTTGAGATGGACCTTGAATAATAGGTAGGTCAGTGGCTCTCAAAGTATGGTCTCTAGACCAGCAGTATCTATCACACCAAGAAGTGCAAATTCCTGGGCTGTACTCCAGCCCCATCAGATCAGAAGCCCTGGTGGTAGGGAGTGCAGCAGTCGGTTTTGTTAAGCCATCCAGATGATTCTAATACACAATAAAGTTTGAGAACCACCAACTAGGATTTAGACAAGAAGAGATGATAGCGAGGACATCAGTTTCAGAAGAAAGGATTCAACCCAGAACACATGCCAGACCATCTACTGTCACTTCCTGCTTATCTTCCTCCCTCTATTTATCCTGACTTGCATGTTTTCTCTCTGCTTTTAGCTGTTACTTATACAAACTTCTCTCCCTCGATGGTTCCTACTCAGTACATTCCTCTCAAATTCCTCATCCCATTACCCTCTCCAATCACTTTTACTTGGTTTTACTCCTACTACCTATGTTTCAGACCCCTTACATTTCTCCCAAAATACCTCCCTCCCCTTCTTTGTTTTCTAATCTCTGTTTATCCCTCTTAATTATCTTTGGCATATCTGGAATTCCTACTTACCACTCTGCATTTGCACATGATTGCCTTGTCCACATTTTTGCTTTTTCTTCTCCTCCTAATTTATTCCCAAATGATTCTGATGTCATCCTTAGTGGCCTCTTTGTAAATTTCTTCCCTATATTGCCAATATATGTTTTGATGGTGCCAGTTATCTAATTTGTGCATTGTATGTGGTTTTTCATTTTTATAACATAATTTTAACATTTACATGTTCTTTATTCCATGGGTTTCTTGCTTCTCAAACCTAGAATAGGACCTATTCGTATACTGTACATTTGTTACAGGTAATGAAACCAAGACTAAAACTGAAGAGTTGTCCCAGAAGGAAGATAAATCCAAAGACATGGAATTCCTTGGGAAGATAAATGACAGACTTAACAAAGATATTCTTCAGTATCCTGAATCCAAAGATGCTTTTGAAAGTGAGGGCATTTTTGAGTGGCAGCAGAGGAAAAGGAGATGCTATAAATGTGATGACTGTGGAAAAAGTTTCAGTCATAGCTCAGACCTTAGTAAACACAGGAGAACGCACACTGGAGAAAAGCCCTATAAATGTGATGAATGTGGAAAATCTTTCATTCAACGCTCACATCTCATTGGACATCATAGAGTACACACTGGGGTGAGACCCTATAAATGTAAAGAATGTGGGAAAGATTTCAGTGGGCGTACAGGTCTCATTCAGCATCAGAGAATCCACACAGGTGAAAAACCCTATGAATGTGATGAGTGTGGGAGGCCCTTCCGTGTAAGTTCAGCCCTTATTAGACATCAAAGAATTCATACAGCAAATAAGCTCTACTAACATGGTATAAGTAACAAAAGTTCTTTAGCCACTCAGGCCAAAGTAGTTATCAGAGAAATCTACCTTGGAGACCTTGAGTATCCTAAATGTAGGCAAAGCTTCAATCATTAAAAATTTCTCTGGTACCAAAGAATCTACCTGAGTAAAAATTTCATTTTATTTCTAAATTAGTCTTAGAGTTGTACACCCTCAAAGTCTTAATGTGAAAAGTAGTTTGGAACATTGAGACCATGCTACCCGTTTTTAGTCTAATGTTGATTCCAGATTGTTACCACAGTGTCTACCATCTGATCTTGACCAGAGGGCAAGGATAAGAGTCAGAGAGGTACAGAAAGATTTCAGGGCAGAGACAGCTTGGAGTGATAGTGGCAATAAAAGAAAGTCCAGTGGGACCTGGGATAACTGCTGCCATAAGGCAAAGGAAGCATGATGTTAAAGGAGGTCTAAGTAGTTAGTACTATGGGATTAGTGCCCTAGTAAGTCTGTAGAAACCCACAAAAAATCGATGAGGATGCAGCCAGTTGGAAAGAAGAGCTCTGAGTCCAATCACAGCCACAGTTTCTGGAAATGAAGATGTTATATGTTAGACACTGTAATCCAGAATCACTGGGTTCTAGCAGACAGCCATCCTGGAAATATGGCACCTGCTCTAAAAGAACCCTAAACATGGAAGGCAGTTTCTCAAATTGTTGTGAAACATGCATCACTTCTCCCATCATTTTTGGAGAGAGGCAAGAACTTGTAGTTTTCATGAACTAGTAGAACAGGCAGTGACAGTTAAGAGGCACCTAAAGGGATTATGGGGACAGTTCTTTCAGACACAGGTGGGGGTGGTGGTTAAACTGGTGATTCTGAATGGGAACCAATAGCTATAAAGGGAAAAAGTGATTGACGGTTGGGGAGAAGGTGATGTCAGAGGTATGCACAGGCATTGGTAAAGAGAGAGGAAACAAGATAGAAGAGAAAGGGATGGAATGAAAAGAGAAGGATAAAAAAAGGAATAAGGGTATAGGGAAAGGAACAAAGATAAGAGATGGTGATAGAGAAGAGAAAAGGGTGACAATTCTAATATTGACATCAATAATTGAAACAGTGGGGCACATGTCACAAGCCATGCAAAGGTGAACAGATCAGCTTATCCCAAGGTCATTGAGTCATACATGCACATGTTATTTATGTTATCTTTATTGAGTCTACAGTCTCATCCTGAGCATGAAATTATTTCTTTATAGTCTAACCAAAAAGTCCATCAACAGTGAACACCTACTAGAAACTTTGAAATGCTTCAAAACAACCTGTTCTCCCCTTAGTAATATCACAAGAGAGATAAAGGTTCTAAAAGAATAGATCTCTCAGTCTTTCTTACTCAAATCCTCTAGAGCACAGTATCTCAACCTTGGTTTTACTGACATTTTCACCCAGACGATTCCTTGTGGATTTGTCTCTGCACTGTGGGATGTTAAGCAGTTTCCCTGGCTTCTATACCCCTAGAGGCCACCAGCAGCCCCAACTTGTGACAAGCAAAAATTTTTTAAGAGATGCAGATATTCCCTGAAAGGCAAAATCTTTCCCCTACCCTACCAGCCTAGTGAAGAATCACTGCTCTATAGGAAAATAATCTGATTTTCATGACTGTTCCACATCATATAAGATTCAACTTAGAAATATATATGACCAGCACTACTAGACCATTTTACTACCCCACAAAATGATTCCCATAATACCTAAAATCTCTGCAGTACACATGCTAAGTAGTCTACTTTAGGAAGCCATACTTCAGTTTTGAGCACCAGAGGAATCTGTCCTCAAATGTGACCTGTATAAAGAGCTTACAGTTGCATTTTTCTAGACCTTCTTCCCTCTACCATACTTCTGATACTACCCTCTCCTTTGCCCCTTTTGACCCAAGGATAAACAGACATTTTATCCTTTAACTATCTGTGCTGTCCAATACATTAGCCACTAGGTACATGTGGCTATTTAGCACTTGAAATATGGCTATACGCAACTGAGGAACTAAATTTTTTTTCACTTTAATTTAAACTTAAAAACTGATACTCAATTCAGTTATTGGAAAACCTTTAAGTATGTTTAGAGTAATTTGGGTATATAATTTTCCACTGAATTTTATGCAATCTCAATATAGATCAAGTACTTCCAATGAAAATTTAATAACAGTTGAGATGTGTAATAAGTGTAAACATTGGCTTTCAAAGATTTAGTATGAAAAAAGGTATTAACTTTCATTTATAAGTTTAGATTTTAAAATAATATTTTGGGTATACTGGTTTAAATAAAATATATTAAAATTAATCTTTTTACATTTTTAATGTGGCTATTAGAAAACTTAAAATTACATAGCTGGATACATTACATTCCTATTGGACAACACTGATCAAGATCTCATTCTCAGGGCAGGTCCCATTCACTATGTTCCAAACCACCTCAATTTTGAACAGCCAAGTTCTGCTGTGCCAAAGACTTTATACCTATTTCTTTTTATTCATTAATCCAATAAATATTTTCTTAGTGCATGCTGTGTGCCAACCCTCTCTTCTAGGTATTGGGGCTATAGCAAGATATAACAAGATAAATAAGATCCCTACTTATATAAGCCTACATTACAGTAAAGGGAGACAAGACATATCAAAGAGGACTAACAGTATGTGGAATATAAACAATGAATTGAAACAGAGTGACTGACTACTAAAAGTAATCAGAAAAGGCTTTTCTGGAGAGCTGACATTTTAACTGAAATATAAATGTCCAGCCTTGGGAATTTCTGCAGAAGACCATGACAGGCAAAGGGAATAACTAATACAGCCTATATGGTAGGAATGAATCTGATGTGTTTACAGGAAATGAAAGAAAGTCATTGGGTCTAAAGCTCTGGATTAAAGGAAATGTGGTATAAAGTTAGGCTCAAGAGGTGAGCAGGGGATATGTATTCTAAAGGATGGGGCACCACTGGAAGGGAAGGACATGATCTGATTCATCTTTTTAAAAAAATCCTTCTGGCCCCTTAGGGAACCAAGAGTGAGAAAAGAGCAGAAGTAAGGAAACCAGTCAAGAGCCTACTGCAGTAACCCAGATGAGAGAAGGCAGTGGCACCGACCAAAGTGGACATGAAGAGAAATAAACAGATTCAAGGTGTATTTTGGAGAGAATGCCAGAACAATTTGCTAAAAGAAAAGACTGGTATAGACCCCTAAATTCTCACACAAAAAGATGGTTAATACTGGGTTAAACATTTGAAATTCCATTTTCGTACAGTCAAATATCATCAATTTCAAATGATTTAACTTAGTAGAAACAAAATAAGAACAGAGAAGAATCTAGAGAGAAATGGAATAGGAAAAGGGACTCTGAAGGGCCTAATTGTGAAATGAAAATCTGTATACTTTTCTCCTTAAAACTCTCTGTGGAAGGCACCCTTTGTTAAGCTCTTTGTCTAGACAGAAATTGCCAACAAACCTGATTCAGAACACCACAATAATAACATGTCTCAGTACAGACTTTCTTCTGGATTGCATATTTCCTGAACTGGTAAAATCAGGTTATCAATGAAAGGCAGTAGAGCAGAGGTTAAGAGCAGACTGACTGGGTATGAATCCTTGCTTTTCTTGTTTCTAATTATATGACCTTGGCATATCCATTTTCTGTGCCTCACATCCCCCATCTGTAAAACAGTGGTAACATGGTGCCTACCTCAAAAAGTAGGAATTACAGAAGGGACCAAATGTTTTGGGTTTAGAACAGTGCCTGCACATAGTAAATACTGTTAGCATTAGACTAGGCCAATAGTGCTGTTAAGTCTTTTTGTTCATCAAAATGCATCATGTTCAGCATTTCTTCCCCTCAAAGCTGCTTAAATTAGTTGAGTGGTATTTTATCTTCATGAATTCAGTGCAGCAACTGTTGCTGTTGTGTATGTGTTTTCCCGTAATGCTAACAATTACCCTAATTCTGAACTGCTCCTTAAATACCTAACCCCAATCCCAGCCCGGACGGTCCCACCCGACGGAGAGAACACCATCCGCGCCGCCCTCGCTTGGGCACTCACCCGCCAGCCCTCGTCTCCCGGTGCTTTCCAGCCCCTGGCGCAGGGCCCAGCTCACAGCGCCGTTTACCCGGCCGCAAAGGCCGGCCCGGGAGCTCTGGAACCGTTAGCTACTGGAAGTGGCCGAGACGCGCGAGAGCGCGAGGAAAGGGGCCGGTCTTCCCGGATCCAGAAGCACTGAGGTTGGCGCCTGGGAAGGAACTCAGGACCCCAGGTGGAGGAGGCGGAAAACCGTTTGAGGGATCCGAGAACTCCGTCATTTAAGTGGGTTCTTGGGAGGGTAAGGAAGTAGGTCATCTTTCCAACATGAACTTGAAATAAGTCATGTTCTTCTATACCGTCCTCTCATTTTCGCTGTTTTGCACACCTCATTTTTGGATTCCTAGAGAAGGCTTTCTGATTAAAGTGAAATCTGAGTCAGACCTTGAAGGATGGACAGAGTTTAGGTAAGTGCAGAGTAGTAGGAAGTGTACTTCCAGCAGAAGGGTCAGTATAAGCAGAAGTGTTATACTGAGTGAAATAGCAGATAGGAGAATCAAGCCACCTTCTATTAAGTCAGACATTAAAGAGATTTGCAGAAATGTGAAATGATTCTACCCCTTTTACTTTTTTTGAAAATACAGATAAACTTCATAAAATATTAAAGTAACATAAAATGTTACCTAACATGTAGTGGGTACCTTGCTGTTATTTTAAAGAAAAACTTTAATTCCTCAGTTTTAATTTCGAACACAGCAAATCTTGTAGGATATGACCCATGTAAACAAACTCTTTGGAGTCCTCACTAGTTTTTAAGAATATAAAAGGAGTCATGAGGCCAAAATATTTGAGAATATGCTATTCCATATACTATATGAAGTGATGCTTCTGAAACTAAAATGTAGAGCAACTGGAAAATGCAGGAATACCTTGAGGCCCTAGGTGTGGGAAATGTTTGGAGTCTTATTAGAAACATGTCATCTGCTTATACAAGCAGGGAAAGTATGAATGACCAGAGTCTTATTTTTGTGTTTTGGTGGGTCTTTCATTGCTGTTGGACCTAGTGACTCAGGAAGTTTAAAATATGTTCTAAACCCTGGTGTGGCTAATTCTAGTAGTGATTTAAAAGGATTAAAAGTTTATTTTTCATAGTAAGAAGTCAATAAGTAATATATCTATACTTGAAAAATTCAAGAAATGTTAGCGTTAACATGTTATTTTTAAATGTGGAGGTTAGTAAAAAAGTAAACAAAAGTTAAAATGGTTGCCTCTGAGAAATAGATATTGATAACAAAAGGGAAAACTGAGGCCTGGTGTTTATCACACCATAAGCCTCAGAGTACTATTAATTTTATTTACTTTTTAAAAATGCCTTTTTATTAGTAAAATGCACAAATCAGATGTGCAACTCAATGAATTTTTATAATATGTGCAACCATGTAACTATAACTCCAACCCATAGTAAACATTTTTTTATCTTCTGTCACCACAGATATTATTAATCTTTATATTAATTTTACTTAAACAAATGCTCACACAAGGCTACTTTTATTCAACGTAATAGGTAGGAAGTTAGACATGAGCAACTGGAGGGGCAGCCTGGCTGAAAGGGATGCAATCTGATCTCTAAACTCCAGCCCAGACACACCCAGGAAAGCTCACAGATATGCTACAAAATAACCACAGAGACATTTCAACTCCTACACATGGACCCTAGGCACACAGTGGATACAAAATGAGAGAGACTTCCCCAAGTAACCTTAGGCTATTAGGAGCCCATTAAGGATTGATGAATATTCTGCATCTAATTATAACAAAATTATGGGAAGACATAAACAATACAACTTGCTGTCATATAACATAATTGTCACTCAGCCTTGAGTATATGCCCATTTACATTCCCTTTCATTTATTGGTGGTGAGTGCAAGCCCTACTTTGCACTAGGTATAACCAAAAGGAGGAAACTGGAAGTATAAAATGGTGAAGCCAAGAGGGCTCAAAAGGAAGGATGAGGAGGATTGGACTAATGGAAGATCTGTCTGCCTTTGTCATTCTACTTTTTTTGGTCCATTGCTCCAGAAAAAGAAATAAACCAACATAACAAATTTTTTTAGATTTATCCATGTTGTTCATCTATCAGTGCCGTACTTAGTTACTGAGTTGTGTCTGACTCTTTGTGACCCCCATGGGCTATAGCCCACTAGGCTCCTCTTGTCCGTGGGGACTGTCCAGACAAGATTACTGGAATGGGTTGCTATGCCCTCCTCCAGGGGATCTTCCCAACCCAGGGACTGAACCCAGGTCTCCCACATTGCAGGCAGATTCTTTACCATCTGAGCCCCCAGGAAAGCCTTATCTATCAGTAGCTGCTTTTAGTTTCTGACTGTATGATCAGTTTAGTTTCTGTTGTATGATCATAACAGTATTTGATTTTCTCTTCTCCTTTTGATGAACTAATTTGGGCCTATTATGAATAATTACGAATTATGAATAAAGCTGCTATGGACTTACGGTTTTATGTCTTAGGTAAAAATACCTAGGGGTGAAATTACTGGGCTATAATGTAGGCATTATTTAACTTTATTAAAAATTGCTATTTTTCAAACTAGTTGTACCATTTTACACTTTCACTAGCAGTGTATAAGAGTTCGGTTGCTTCATAGCCTCACTTCAGTTCAGTTCAGTTGCTTAGTCATGTCTGACTCTTTGCGACCCCATGGACTGCAGCATGCCAGGCCTCCCTGTCCATCACCAACTCCCGGAGTTTACTCAAACTCATGTCCATTGAGTCGGTGATACCATCCAACCATCTCATCCTCTGTTGTCCCCTTCTCCTACCTTCAATCTTTCTTCAGGTTCTTTTCCAATGAGTCAGTTCTTCACATCAGGTGGCCAAAGTATTGGAGTTTCAGCTTCAGCATCAGTCCTTCCAATGAATATTCAGGACTGATTTCCTTTAGGATGATATTAATTTTACTTAAACAAATGCTCACACAAGGCTACTTTTACTCAACGTAATAGGTAGGAAGTTAGACATGAGCAACTGGAGGGGCAGCCTCCACCTTGCTCTCCTATATCCTTTCTAGCACTCAGTATTGTCAGTCATTTTCATTTTAGCCATTCTAATGGATGTGTGATGGTCTTAATTTTATATTCCCTTGATGAATAATGATTTTTAGTACCTTTTCATGAACTTATTGATAATTCATATATCTTCTTTGGTAAAGTGCGTGTCCATAACCTTTGCCTATTTATGTTTGTTTTCTTATGATTGAGCTGTAAGAGTTCTTTATATATTCTGGATACCAGTTGTCAGAAATATGTATTGAAAAAATATTTTCCATTCTAAATGGAATATTTCCATCCTAAATATTTTCCATTTCATTTTTCATTTCTAAATGGTGCTTTTTGCTGAGCAGAAAATTTAAATTTTGATGAAGTCAAATTTAGCAATTTTATCTGTTATTATTAATGCCTTATGAGAAATCTTTGCTTAGGTCACAATACTATTTCATTTTTACTACCTGTGTGTATAACTTTGATTTTAAAAAATTGTTTTTTAATGTAAAAATGAAACAGCATCTAGTCTGTTGACAGTTATTTTCAGTTTTCATCTCTGGTGGGAAGCAAAAACTATGAAATAACAAAAGTATTTTGAAAGAGTTGAAACACTGTAACTTATGTGTTTATTGTTATTTGTTTTATTGTGATGATTAGCTGACAAAACTCTTACAAGCAAATCAATACTACTAAGGCTTAGTCCTGAGGACAGACATTTTTAGGTTAAGGTTGGGGACTGGATAGAAACATTGGTGGTGGTGGCTATCAGCAGGATCAGATAAGGAGGGAAAATTAAGATGAAGATTGGAGGGGCACCTGAAAACCCAGCATAAATGGATAGTTAGAAAAAATGTTAAAGGAATAAAAATGGGGGACCAAAACAGCAACCAACAACATTTTTCATGTGAAAAAAAAATGAAAGAAAACCTCCTTTACAGTGGAGTCAGGAAGCCCTGACGGAGAGCTCACACACATGTACTAGTATTACAGTCTGCATAACCAGTAAGAATAAAGAAAATAAAAATTATTTTAACAAGGTCCGCTTCCGCTTATATGGAATTCTTTGTACAAAAGTCTGTCTGTCACAACTTCTTATTCATGATGATAAGAATATAACTTTTCTTCTGGTACAAGAGAGGACATTTTTCACAAGGGAATTTCATCACCTGCTTTTAAGGAGAGCCCTCCCTGCCCCAGCGGCAATGCACGGACCACTGCTTGCAGCTAATAAGAAACGGCCATAACCTCCTTCTTCTCCAGCGAACTTTTATTCAAGACAGCCCTCTCCCAAACTAATAAAGTTGATCTTCCCTTTGTTTCTTGGTCTTGTCTCTGAAACACCACTTCTTGCGTGATCCAAATAGCAATTCTCTGCTTTTCCTGCACAAACCCATTTTGCTGTTAAAATAATTGGCTGTTTGATTTTTGAGGCCAGCATCCACAACCTCCGCCCTCAAATCCTATGTAGTCTAAAAAGTTAAAATTGTAAGGGTGTATAAGGAAAGAACATGGATTTGAATTTGGGTTTTTCTAAATTTGTGGTATTGGAAATAGGGTCTACAACTTAAGTTTATGTCATAATTACGTCATAATCCTAAACTTAACTCAGTACTAAAAAGCTAAACTGCAAAGCAGGTTTTGTAAGAGACTGCAGTTCATTAAAATAGGAAAGGGTGGAACATATGTAAAGACTCAAAAGAATTCATATTTTCTATGAACCATGATAAACTGGAACTCAAGAAATTTGCAGTCTACGTGGGAGGGTTAGATATGTTTATGGAGAGAGAACAATAAAGTACAGGGACATCTAACCCGGCCAAACGCAAGTCTAGTTAGTTAGCATCATAAGGATCCTTAAAGTGCATCCTCCACCGCTACCCCAGCTACCGCCTGCTTCCAGCCCTGGCCTCTGCAAGCCCTCGGATCAGCTCTCCGGGGCACCTTTAACTCCCCAGCGAGCCTGCGGGGCGGGGTCTCTGGGCCAAGTATGGGAGGCGGAAGTGACACCACAATCCGTTATTCCTCACAACTTTGCCGGCGCCTTAGAGCCGCGCGCAACCCGGCGACGCGTAGACGCTAGAGGACAGCGAGCCCTAGCGTTCGGTTGTGAGGGGCGTGGTGCCCCAGTCGGTTCTTTGGGCCGACCATAGAGCTTTCAGACCTCCAGGATTCCTAGAGAGCTCCCGGAAGTGGCTTGGGGCAAGATGCATGTTGGCCGGCGGTGTGCCTCACGTCTGGAAGTTAGGGGCTGGAGGTTCCTGGGCCGGCTACTGCTTTCGCATCTTTCTTCTTGCAGCCGTTCCTTTGCGTCTGTCCACCGTTTGTAACATCCCTTCCCCACCGCGGGCCGCCCCTGGAACGCACGGTGAGTACAGTCGGACCTTGGGCCGGAGGAAACAGGAACACTTTGTGGCCAGACCAGGCCGCAGCTGAGGACAAGCCTGAGGCGTCTGGAGAGGGGCCCTGAGCCGAGGTCTGCGCCCCGGGGTGATTCGGTCGGTTAAGGGTCGCTTTGGTTGCCAGCGCAGGCCGAGTCCGCGTGCCCAAAATTTTTGCTAAGGAACCTTCAGTAAAGATACGCTTTCTTCATCGCTAATCGTTTGTGGTGTTATTTGCAGTCAGTCTTACTTAAAGTAGAAAACTGTCCCTTTGTTATCTTTTATTGACCACTGTCCACTATTTGAATTGTTTTTATTTAGCTTTTTGCGTTTCCGTCACAATTGTCATTAAAATATATATGTGTGTGTGTATATATATATATATATATATAGTTTGTTTGTTTTTGGAAACCCCAGTTGTCTTTGGAAACCTGTTTTTCCAGCTTAGTTTGTTTTGCTCTCTGTAGTGTATTCAGAGAAGGAAATGGCAACCCACTCCAGTGTTCTTGCCTGGAGAATCCCAGGGACGGCGGAGCCTGGTGGGCTGCCGTCTGTGGGTTTGCACAGAGTCGGACACGACTGAAGCGACTTAGCAGCAGCAGCAGTGTATTCAGAAAATGACAGTGCGTTGACTGGATAATGTACAACGAAACAGTTTTTGACGACTTCTCGGTAATATAAAGTTCAACCTTATTCAGAATACTTTGTTTATTAAAGCTAGTTGAAGCAGATGCCTGAAAACTCTTTAGGGGGGCCCCATTTCCGAAATTCAGGTGACTCATGAGTAACTTTGTCACTACCACTTCTAAAAAATACATATTTCTGTTGTTTGATTAGTTCAGTTAAGTATACTTATGTAGTAATCATAGTTTTAGCAAATGCATACATATTTTGAATTTCTGCTGTAGTTAAGTGTAAAATGTGGATGTTAAAATATTCAACTTACACAGCTTGAGATACCTATAAAACACAGTGTTTGCTTCACCTTGATTTTTAAAGCCTGGAAAATACCTTTGCTTGGTTTTATTTTCAGCTCCCAAACATCCCAAATTAGACTTAAACTAACCTAAATAAAGAAAGCATTCTTTCTTCATCTATTAAAAAGGTAGTGGTGTTAAAACATGCCTTCAGTAGTTCACACGATTATTGCATTAAAGAGGAGAAGAAGCTTTAAAGATTTTTTTAATTTCCTAAATCAATAAAGTTGATGGAGTATTCTTAAAAGAGGATGTAAGAAGCAGTCTTTATCCACAGGGTGCTTACCAACTTAAATACAGAGGTATATACACAAAACTGTTTGAGAGGAAGGTGTTTTATTTATAGTGCATTAATTTTGTAGTACATATCTTTGTACTTGGTTATAGGCTGTAACTTTCAAAAACTGTCTGATTGAAGAGGGACAGACCAAAAAAGGAAAATTAGCTACTAAAAAGAATAATCAAATGGATAATGGACAAGATTTGTTGGTTGATGTGGTTTGAAATATGAACAAACCTAATAGTTAGATGACTCCCATCAGTTTCACTGTTGAGACTTTTTAAAATATCATTTAGTACTATATTACTATTTTAACATCAGCAATGTAAAGTTCTTGAATGATGCACACTTAACATCGAAACTTTTAATAGCTAATATTGATGCGTATTGATTAAAAGGTGGAAGGTGGCCAGTAGTTCAGTAGTTAAAGATGAACCTTGACTTTAGGAAATTCATAAGAAAACATGGTAAAACTATGACCATGCATTCAAAACAATTAGAGCTTAGAATTCATGTCCCAGAGTAATGAATTTATTAAATTTTTATTGACTTTTTAAATGAATTATTTTAAAAACCATGGATGTTGGTCCTGTGTGTTCAAAACAAAAGTGTCTGTCTTTACCCCTTGTCTCAAACCCTCCACAAAATCTCAGCCTTTTGCTGAGACTGAGAGATTTCACTCTTCCCTCAAATCTCTATACCAGGAAATTCCCCCACTTCTCTGTAGTTATTATCTATGAATTAAACCCTTTGTTGTTAATCACGATATTTAATCTTATCTCATGCTCCCTGGTTTCTCCATCTGTACAGTTTGGCGAGTAAACTGTTATTACCAGTCTGTCTTGAGTTTAGAGATAATTTTTCAAATTCTCTTCCTTTTCTGTCCACACTCTGTAAGTAGGGGTTCTTAACCTTCCTGGAGGTCTTTGGAGGGTGTTTGATGTATGAACACTGAAGAGTAAAGTTTTGTGTGTATGGGCTTTTTTTGGAAAAAAAAGTGCTGTGTTTCATTAGTTTGAGAGATGTTGAGCGAACCCTACCCTATTCTCTTGGCCTCAGATGCTTGAAAGATAGAGATACTGACTTGAAGACTCATGTCAGTAACACTACGTAATCTGATTTCTAAGTGCCTACCTCTTCTTTCCCTTGATGGACTACAGGTCTGTGATTTTATCTTGATATTAGCATTTCTTGCCAATTGCTTTTGGATATGCCTCCTTTAGTTATGCTGTTCTCTATTCTCTACAGTGCTGCCTTCAGTTACATTTTCTCCAGGCCCTTGTCCACAATGTTGCCATTGTGGTCTTTCTGACCTACAAATATGTAATGTAAGTGACAAAGAGATACAAAGAAAAGATCACTGTTACAAAAACCATGACCATGGGCAGACATTTGCAGTACATACTGTATACAATGTGATAAATCCTGTGCCTAGACCTTGCGAAAAATAACTTGGCAAAAATGAGCACCTTAATCTTCCAGGGTGGGGGATGTTGGCAGCTGAGGATTGGGGGCAACAGGGAAGACCTGATTTAAAAGGTAATAGAAAAAAAAAAAGGTAATAGATAAGCTGAGACTTTTAAGTTAGAGTTCAGTGATTTCTGCAACACTAGGGTTTATCAGCAATAACACTGACACTTTTAACCAGATCATTCTTTCTATGGAGAATTATGTTATGCATTGTAGGATGTTTAATGACATCTCTGGTCTCTACCTACTCAAACCCAGGTGTCCCGCATTGTAGGCAGATGCTTTTACCCTCTGAGCCACCTGGGAAGCCCTGTAAAGGAAAGTTTATAGCAGATAAAGCAAAACAGTTTTACCTATCATAAAGGGCCTTGCATTCCTGTGCTGAAGAGTTAAGTTCCTTATTGAAAGATTTTAAGGAGGTAAGTTGTATTACATATGTGTTAAAACAGTCTCTCTAGCAGTGTATTTAGTTTGGTAGGGCTGCTGTAACGTAGTACCACAAACTGGATGACTTCCACGGAAGTTTATTCTCCCATAGTTACGATGGCCAGAAGTCCAAGGTCAATGTGATAGCTAACTTCTGATTGTTACTGACAATCCTTGGCATTCCTTGACTTGAAACTGCATAACTCCATCTCTGCCTTCTTAGTTACGTGACTGTCTTCTGTCTTCACGTGGCCTTCTCTTTGTATGTGTCAATCTCCATGTCTCTTCTCTTATTATAAATATACTAGTCATGTTGGCTTAAAGGCCCACCCTACTCCAATATATAAAAGCATCTGCCTACAATGCCGATACCCGGGTTCGATCCCTGGGTCGGGAAGATCCCCTGGAGAAGGAAATGGCAACCCACTCCAGTACTCTTGCCTGGAAAATCCCATGGACAGAAGAGCCTGGTAGGCTACAGTCCATGGGGTCACAAAGAGTTGGATGTGACTAAGCGACTTCACTTTCACTCCAATATAACCTCATCTTAATTTGATTAAAACTGCAAAGACTCTATTTCCAAATAAGGTCACATTCACAAGTACCAAGGGTTAGTACCTCAACATATTTTTTCTTGGAGGGACATAATTCAGCCCACAATAAGCAGCTTTATAGAACATGAAGAGCATAACCAAGGGTAGAAAGATCACTTACACTGCTACTGCAGGCAAAAGTGATGCCAGATACCAAAGGTGAAAGCCGTAGACTTATATCCCACAAAGAAACAAGCCCCTGTAATTGAAGAAGTCTAAAGACTTGGGCCTTTTATGTAAAACTTAACTGCTCAACAAATACAAGTACAGTCTGTGTCGAGTATTATAAATAATAGCCCTCTAATCTTCTTCCATTCTATCAATAAGATAAAAGATAAAGATCTCTACTCATAGGAAATATAGAATTAAGTTAGAAAGTCAAAACTCCTTTGCAACTAATAATACACAATTATGGCAAAAATAACATTGAAGTGATACTTATGTAACAGATATGTAGACTAAGAGAGAAATCACTTCAAATTGGAATCATTAAGAAAGGATTTTAAAGAAGAAAGCATTTCATCCAGTCCTTTGAGAATAGGTAGTTTGAGTACTAATGAAAGAAATTAGAAAACTTAAATAAATAGACAGACATACCACATTTATGAGATGGGAAACAATACTGTTTAGGTGTCACTTGTCTCTCAACTGAACTATAGAGTCAACACAAATCCTATTCCAGGAGTTTTGGTGGTTTTTTTTTTTTTTTTTAGAAAACAGTTATAAAATTTATATCAAAAGGCAACAGAACTAGAAAAACTAAAATAATTCTGAAAATGAACAACAAAGTCTCAGGACTCTTAGTAATTTATTTCAAGATTTAAAAAGCCACAACTGTCAAGACAGTTCATATTGGCAAAAGGAATAACATATACATCAATGGAACAAAATAGAGATTCCAAAAGGAGATCCACACATACAGTCCATTGATTCTTGACAAAGATACAAAGACAATTCAATACTTAAATTTTTAAAAATCTTTTCTGCAAATAGTGCTGCAACAATTTGATATCTGTATGAACCTCCATCCATACTTCAAACTCTGAATGAAAACTAACTTAAAAGCGATCATAAACCTAAAAGTAAAAATTTAAACTATAATCTTTGTGTCCTTGGATTAAGCAAAAACTTCTTAGATATGACAACAATAGTACAATCCCTAAAAGTTGACAAATTAAATTTCAAAAAATTATGAATTTCTGTTCTTAAAAAAGCACTGTTAAAAGAATGGAAAGGAGGAGATATTTGCAAGTCACATATTTCATAAAGGACTTGTATCCAAAATATGTAAAGAATTCTCAAAAGTCAATTATTTTAAAAAATCTAATTCTAAATATAGGAAAAAGTCAAAGAAGATGCAGTTGTCTCTTGGTATCCATGGGGAATTGGGTCCAGGACCCTCTTGGATACTAAAATTTGTTGATGCTCAAGTCTTATGTAAAATATAATAGTCTTTGCATATAACCTACACACATCCTCCTGTATACTTTAAATCATCTCTAGATTACTTATAATCCCTAATAAAATATAAATGCTTTGTATTTACAAAGTTGGTGATGTGCAGCAAATTCATGTTTTGCCTTTTGGAACTTTCTGGAACTTTTTTCCCCCAAATATCTTTGATCCATGGTTGATTGAATTCAGGGATGTGGAACCCATGGATTTGAAGGACCAATTATATGAATGGCAAATAAGCACAGAAAAGGATGCCCAGCATTATTAGTCAGTAGAGAAATGCAATTTAAAACCTTATGAAATACCACTATGTCTTTTAGTATACCAAAATCTATGTGTATATATGTGTATGTGCGTGTTTCAAATGCTGGTCAGAATGTAGAACAATTGCAGTTCTCACATATTGCTAGTGGAATGCAAAGTATTATAGCCACTTTGGGAAACAGTCTGGCAGTCTCTCATAAAGTTATCCATATACTTAGCTTATGACCCAGCAGTTTTTTTTATGGATATTTACCAAGGAGAAATGTTCACACAAAAATTCATATGCAGATATTTATAGTGGCCTCATTTGTAATCATCAAAAACTGGAAGCAACTGAGATAGTCTAAACTAGAGAATGGGTAAACATTTATCCATATAAGGAATGAGAGGGCTTGCCAGGTGGCGTTAGTGGTAAAGAACCCACCTGCCAATGCGGGAGATGTAAGAGACGCAGGTTCTATCCCTGGGTTGGGAAGATCCCCCGGAGGAGGGCACAGCAATCCTCTCCAGTATTCTTGCCTAGAGAATCCCATGCACAGAGGAGTTTGGCGGGCTGTGGTCCTTAGGGTCACAAAGAGTCAGACACGACTGAAGCAAATGGTCATAGGAAGTCCACTGGTGAATGCTTGCCGTGCCATGCTATATAAGGAGTAAACGTCTGATACATATACTAACGTTGATGACTCAAGTACAATATGCTGAGTGAAAGATGCCAGACTCAAAAGGCTACATACTGTATGATTTTATTTCTAAAAAATTCTGTGTCATTAGTTTGTGGGACTAGATTTGGGGGTTGCAAGTGTTGATAGGGCATCGGGGTTCCTTAGAGGTGCAGGACCTGTGCCCCAGAGAAGACTTTACAGAACTTGAAATAAAGTCCATAGTAGAAGTTAATGTGGAGACGAGGGGGGTTGGGAGTGGGATGGGGGCGTGGAGCACATGTGGGATAACGAATGTTAAGTGGAGAAGAGGAAAGTGTTAGGACCTTTCTTGACAATACCTTGAGCTGGATTATGTGGAAATTAGTCTCATGTTGAGAGTGAGGGGCAGGTTAAGAGCTTCTTTGTGTCAGAACAGTATAGCTGATAGAGCAAATGCTGAAAGGAATCGAATCAGCACCTCTGAGTGTCAGATGAGATTAAAGATGGAATTTCAATTAGACCCAGTCTACATGGTTTCCTGACTTTGTTTAGCCATGTTCCACATTCCCAGGAGAGAAAGCAGAAGGAATTCCCAGATGGAATTGGCATGGCAGAAGGCTAAGAAGGCAAGGAGTTATTTCTGGAGAGGATCACTTAAATTACATCCATGTCATGGTAGGGAACTTGTTAAGATATCTCAGTAAATTATTGTGACCTTTGGCTTGCCTTTACAGTATTTGTCATTTTCTGTCCCCAAAGAAGTACCCTTAAAGAAGAGGCCCTCAGAAGGTTCTTAAGAAGATAAAGAAGGTAGTAGAAACGAGTCTCCTGAGCTTTTCTGGCCCTAAATGGCAGCAGAATCAAGAAAGTCTTTAGCCCCATCCCCACCAAATCAGGTTCCTGAAGAGGACCTTGTAATTGTCAAGGTAGAGGAAGATCATGGTTGGGACCAGGAATCAAGTCTACATGAAAATAACCCTCCTGGCCAAGAGCTGTTCCGCCTACGCTTCAGGAAGTTATGCTACCAAGAGACACTAGGACCCCGAGAAGCTCTGATCCAACTCCGCGCACTTTGCCATCAGTGGCTGAGGCCCGATTTGAACACCAAGGAGCAGATCCTGGAGCTGCTGGTGCTGGAGCAGTTCTTGACCATCCTGCCTGAGGAGCTCCAGACTCTGGTGAAGGAACATCAGCTAGAGAATGGAGAGGAAGTGGTGACCCTACTGGAGGACTTGGAAAGGCAAATTGATATATTGGGACGGCCGGTACGTAGAAGGAGGTGGGCATGCTGTGACTGTGAGAGTCCAGGGAGCTGGGTGGAGGGACATTGATACAAAGTGGGAGAATAAATGCTGAGCATGAGTTTTGTTATAGGAGAATGAAAATAGTTTTAGTGTGGCATGGCTTCTATCTCTAGAGTTCTTTTTATTCTTGTAAAGGATATAAATCCATTTTTTTTATCCTCATAACATCCCTGCAGTTGTATTATTGTTCTGTTTGCCAGATGGGAAACTGATGCATAGAGAACTTAATTTATTTTCCAGGGGCAACCAAATAACTAAAGATAGATCTGAGGCCAGAACTCAGATTTCCTAGTTCCTTATCAAAAATTTTTTCTACTGAAGAGTACTGCTTTAAGTTGCTGTTTATCATTTTTGTCCTTTCTTGAGAGTACAAAGTGTCAGCATTTTGTGCATCAAGGAGGGCATCAGCAGAAATCTTTTTCTTCAGTGCTAAGCAGAAATGATGCCTTTCTGTGTGAATCAGCATGTTTGTGTTCCTTACTGCCCCTTGGAAGTAATTAAGATTCTTCTTTTTCCTCCCCCCACATATATTCCTTTAGATGTGCTTTTTCTTACATTGTTCACTTCTTTTCTCAGAGGAATTCCTTGTAATGCAACTGTCTTGTTTCTAGGTCCCAGCTCGTGCACATGGACATAGGGTACTCTGGGAGGAGGTGATGCATTCAGAATCTGCATCGGAGCCTCCAGATACTCAGCTCCAGCCTGTGGCAATGCAGCACAAATCTCCAGTGCTCCAAGGGCCACATAATAGAGGTGAGGAGCCAGATTTCACTGATGAGGAGTGAGGAAGTGAAAAGGAAAGAAAGTACATTCAGGACACCTGTCTAGTTCCTTGAACCAAGAACTAGAATCTGCTGTTTACAGACTGGTCATAAGATCTGATTTCAATTTCATCTAGACTTCAAATACAGACTGTCAGTCCCAGTGGTAAATTCAAGAACAAATGAAAGAATTTGGGGATTTTATAGATTCATATATTTCTGTTACCACAGTGTATTTACTGCATAGGCATTTTTAGATTTTGTTGGTATCACATGCCATTTTATTTGTATTTCAGTATGTATTTTCTTAAACAAGAGCATTTTCATAGATACCACAATGAATTGATCACAGTTAGAAAATATTCAGGGGCTTCCTTGATGGCTCAGTGGTAAAGAATCTGCCTGCCAATGCAGGATACACGAGTTCAATCCCTGATCCAGGAAGATCCCACATGCTGCAGAGCAACTAAGCCCATGTGCCTCAACTATTGATGCTGTGCCCTAGAGCCTGGGGGCTGCAACTACTGAAGCCCTGGAGCCCTAGAGCTTGTACTCTGCAACCAGAGAAGCCACTGCAATGAGAAGGTCGGGCACCGAAACTAGACAGAAACCCCTGTTCTCCACAACCAAAGAAAGACCCAGCACAGCCAAAAATAAGTAAAATTAAAATAAAAAAAAAAACAAAATATTCATATTTTGCCAGCTGTCCCAAAGTTTTTCCAGAGTCTAGTCCAGGATCACACTTTGTAATTAGTTGTCCTGTCTCTTTAGTCTCCTTTTACTTGGACTAGTTCCTCAGCCTTTCTTTGCCTTCCATAATCTTGAATTTGTGAAGAGTACAAGTCAATTATTTTGTAGAATGACAACAATTTGAGTTTGTATGATGTTTTCTCATATTTAGATTCAATTTGTGTCTATTTGGCAGGAGCACCTCACAAGTGATTTTGTATCCTTCTCAGGAATATGACAGGAATTTGTCTATTGTTGGTAGTGTTTTTTTTTCAATGACTTGCTTAAGGTTGTTCTTGCTAGGTTTTTGTTACTGTTTTTCCCTTTGTAATTAATGAGTAATTTCTGGGGATATACTCTTGAGTCTGTGTATCAGTAAATACCCTGGTCTTCATCAAACTTTTGTTGCTGAAACACTAGTTTTAGTATTTGTTGATGCTCCTTCATTGAATCAAGAATTGCTAAAGTGATTATTTTCTATCATTGTTGTTCAGTCGCTAAGTCATGTCCAACTCTTTGTGACCCCATAGACTGCAGCATGCCAGACTTCCCTATTCTTCACTATCTCCTGGCGTTTGCTCAGATTCATCTCCATTGAGTCAGTGATGCCATCTAACCCTCTCATCCTCTATTGCCCCTTTTCCTCCTTTTGCCTTCAGTCTTTCCCAGCATCAGTGTCTTTTCCAGGCTCTTCACATCAGGTGGCCAAAGTATTGGAGTTTCAGCTTCAGCATCAGTCCTCCAATGAATGTTCAGTGTTGATTTCCTTTAGAATTGACTGGTTTGATCTCCATGCAGTCCAGGGGACTTTCAAGAGTCTTCTCCAGCACCATAGTTTGAAATCATCAATTCTTTGTCACTCAGCCTTCTTTCTGGTCCAACTCTCACATCCATACATGACTACTGGAAAAATCATAGCTTTGACTATACAAACCATTGTCAGTAAAGTGGTCTTTGCTTTTTAATATGATGTTTAGGTTTGTCATAGCTTTCCTTCCAAGGAGCAAGCGTCTTTTAATTTCATGGCTGCAGTTACCATCTACAGTGATTTTTGGAGCCCAAGAAAAGAAAATCTGTTACTGATTCTATTTTTTCCCTTCCATTTGCCATGAAGTGATGGGACTGGATGCCATGATCTTAGTTTTTTGAGTGTTGAGTTTCAAGCCAGCTTTTTCACTCTCCTCTCACTCTCATCAAGAGGCTTTTTAGTTCCTCTTCACTTTCTGCCATAAGGGTGGTGTCATCTGCATATCTGAGGTTGTTGATGTTTCTCCAGCAATCCTGATTCCAGCTTGTGAGTCATCCAGCCTGGCATTTCACATGATGTGCTCTGCATATAAGTTAAATAAACAGAGTGACAATATACAGCCTTGTTATACTCCTTTCCCAATTTTGAACCAGTCAGTTGTTCCATGTAAGATTGTAACTGTTGCTTCTTGACCCATATACAGGTTTCTGAGAAGACAGGTAAGATAGTATGATATTCCCATGTCTTTAAGAATTTTCCACAGTTTGCCAGATACAGAGTCCAAGACTTTTGCTTAGTCAAGGAAGCAGAAATAGGTGTTTTTCTGGAATTCCCATGCTTTTTGTATGATCCAGTGAATGTTGGCAATTTGATCTCTGGTTCCTCTGCCTTTTCTAAATCTGGCTTGTATATCTGGAAGTTCTCAGTTCACATACTGCTGAAGCCTAGTTTGAAGGATTTTTGAGCATTACCTTACTAGCATGTGAAATAAGCACAATTGTCCAGTAATTTGAACATTCTCTGGCATTGCTCTTCTTTGGGATTGGAATGAAAACTGACCTTTTCCAATCCTGTGGCCGCTGCTGAGTTTTCCAAATTTTCTGACATACTGAGTATAGCACTTTAACAGCATCATCTTTTAGGATTTTAGATAGCTCAGCTAGAATTCCATCACCTCCACTAGCTTTGTAGTAATGCTACCGAAGGCCCACTTGACTTCACACTCCAGGTTGTCAGGTCTAGATAAATGACCACACAACCGTGGCTATCTGGGTCATTAAGATCTTTTTTGTATAGTTCTTCTGTGTATTCTTACTTTCTCTTAATCTCCTCTGCCCCTCTTAGTTTCTGTCCTTTATCATGCCCATCCTTGCATGAAATGTTCCCTTGATATCTCTGGTTTTCTTAAAGAAATCTCTAATCTTTCCCATTCTATTGTTCCCTCTACTTCTTTGCATTGTTCATCAAAGAAGACCTTCTTACCTCTCCTTGGTATTCTCTGGAACTCTGCATTCTGTTGGGTGTATCTTTCCCTTTCTCTCTTGCTTTTCACTTCTCTTCTTTTCTCAGCTATTTGTAAAGCTTCCTCAGACAACCATTTTGCCTTCTTTCATTTCTTTTTCTTTGGAATGGTTTTGGTCACTACCTCATATTTATTTGTTTATTGTAATGGAAAGTGTTCCCTCCTTCCCCCATTTTATTTTGTTTTCATTTTTTAATTTATCAATATGTACTCAAATTCATTTTTTTTCTTTCTGTTATTCTCTTTATTTTGATGTTTAAATTGTCTCAGAGTTGACCATAAGAGGCCTCTTCCATCTGACTCCTGCGTCCTGTTGACTTTTCTCCATCATTTTTGTGAATTTTCTTACTTTTCTATAGAACAAGATAAAATGTTCTAGTCTCATATCGTACTGTGTTTCTTATTTTTTTATTTATGTGGTTTCATAGTTTGTCTTAAATTATTAGAGTTTTAATGTTTCTAAAACAATTCTTAAGTAAAATTCTAATACCTGTTGTGCAAGACCCAGTAGTCCTTTTTGATTTTTTTATTACCCTGTCTGGTATCTACAGGAAGCAGATACTGGCAGTCATAGTGGACATTTCAAAAAAGTGATAGAGTTAGTAGAGATAGATTGGTTACCATATTCAGTTTGACAAAAGATTAGGACCTAAAGAAATACTGTGTACAAGCACAAGAATGGACTACAGCTTTGATGGTAGAGAAGAAATTGTAAAGCAGTTCCTGTTAGGAAACCAGTAAACATTCTATTTTTGACACGTAGCTTCAAGCTGAGTGGACCATCGAAGTACAATGTTTCGTGGGCAACCATAGGTCTAGACACATAGTCCAAGACTAACAGAATTTCATATGCAAAATCTTTGGCATGCATATCTGCTGAAATATACAAAATTTTGGAATGTGTTAGTGCTGGTTCCTATAATCATAGGACAAGGCCGGTCTCATTCATGGCTCCTTTCTCCTCTCCTAGTCATATCAGTTTCACAGAGTCCTACCCCTTCCCAGAAAGGAAGTCCTCGAGACCAGGAGATGACAGCTACACTGCTTACAGCAGGGTTCCAGGTGAGTTGTACTTCTTCTCACTGAAACCTCATAGCTCTACTCAGAGTGTTTGTGGCATCTACCCCATGTCTAGACTGTCTGTAGCAGTACTTACTTGCTCCACATTCTAATGCATAGAGACAGATGGATCCTTGATTCTGCCCTACCCCCGCCCCAGTAAATCCGATGCATTTTCCTGCTCTTCCCAGCTAGCTTCGCAGATCACTTTACATGGTACTTTCTCATGTCATGATCCTCTCCACCCCTGATGGGTCTCTCTGATACTCTAGGTTTAAGCTGTGGAACAGTCCCAGCCCCGAAATGAGCATCTTGTTTTGTTTCAGACTTTAGAGAAGATCGAAGACATGGCTGTGTCCCTAATTCGAGAGGAATGGCTTCTTGATTCATCCCAGAAGGATCTGAGTAGAGATAACAGGCCAGAGAATTATAGAAACATGTTCTCCCTGGGTAAGGAGAGCTCTGGTTGTTATTGTTAAAAATCTTTTGTTTATGTGGACAGTAGCTTTGAGCTTTCTGAAAGACATAGTTGAGTTTAAACTCAGGATCCATCAGAGAGAGAAAATATTGAGACTTCTGGAGTTCTGAAAGGAAACTTTTGTGGCCACTGTGGAAAATATTATGAAGTTCATTAACAAACTAAAAATAGAGTTACCATATGATCTAGCAATCCCACTCCTGGATGTATATCCAGAGAAGACAGATGCTTTAATTTAAAAAGAAATGCACCGCCATGTTCAGTGCAACATTATTTACAGTAGCCAAGACATAGAAGCAACCTAAGTGTCCATCAGCAGATGAATGAATAAAGGTGTGGAGGTTGGGTGGGTGGGGGTGTGTGTGCATGTAATGGAATATTACTCAGCTGTAAAAAGAATGAAATAATACCATTTATAGCAACATGGATGGACTTAGAGATCATCACACTAAGTGAAGTAAGTCAGAGAATCTAAAAATAGTGAAATCTAAAAAATAGTACAAATGAACTTATTTACAAAACAGAAACAAACTTACGGTTACCAAGGAGGAAGGTGGGAGAAGGGATAAATTAGGAATATGGGATATATGGGTTTAAGATACACACTACCATATATATAATAGATAAACAACAATATTCAGAAACTATATTCAGTATCTTATAATAGCCTATAACGAAAAAGAATTTTAAAAAGAGTATACACTCACACACACACACACACACACACACACACGTGTAACTTAATCACTTTGCCATACACCTGAAGCAAACAATTTTATGAATTCCCTGTACTTCAATAAAAAATAACCAGAAAAAAATTAATTTTAAAAATAAAAGGAAACTTTTTTACTCTCTTATCTAGGACTTATCTTACAGCTTGTAACTGAGTATTGGTCTCCTATCCAAATACCAACCAGGCCTAACCCTGCTTAGCTTCCAAGATCAGATAAGATCGGGCGCATTCAGGGTGGTATGGCCGTAGACTGGGTATTGGTCTCTTTGCCAGTTGGATACTGAAATCTTTTGGTGCTCTCTGCATTCACATAGATCTCTCATACTTAGACCCATTGTGCTCCTCCCTTTTAATGACTGGGGCTTTTTTCATTCCTACTTCACTCATTAGATCTTTTTGTAGTTCCATATTCCTTCTCACTCCCCAATTTCTGATTCTCCTCAGGGGATTCCATCTCTACTTTAGTCCTCCTTCCAACAACCCTATTTCTTGACGGCAGTTATTCCCTAGTTGGCGTATGTGGTACTTCAGTTTGTCCCTGCTCCTTTCTCCCCATATTAATGAAGGCATTTTGGAGACAGATGGAAGCTTTTCATTTACTCTTAACCTCCATGTGTATGTTTCTTTCCTCTGTTTGATTTCTTTTTCCTAACATAGAGACTAGGAAGTGACATTCACTTGATGTTTATTACATTTTTATTCCAGGTGGTGAGACCAGGAATGAGAACAGGGAATTAACTTCAAAACAGGTAATATCTACTGGAATCCAACCACATGGAGAGACAGCTGCCAAATGCAACGGGGATGTTATCGGGGGTCTTGAGCCTGGAGAAGCCCGAGACCTTCTGGGCTCATTAGAGAGGCAGCGGGGAAATCCCACCCAAGAGAGACGACATAAATGTGATGAATGTGGGAAGAGCTTTGCTCAGAGTTCAGGCCTTGTTCGTCACTGGAGAATCCACACTGGGGAGAAACCCTATCAGTGTAATGTGTGTGGTAAAGCCTTCAGTTACAGGTCAGCCCTTCTTTCCCACCAGGATATCCACAACAAAGTAAAACGCTACCACTGTAAGGAGTGTGGTAAAGCCTTCAGTCAAAACACAGGCCTGATCCTGCACCAGAGAATCCATACTGGGGAGAAGCCATATCAGTGCAATCAGTGTGGGAAAGCTTTCAGTCAGAGTGCAGGCCTTATTCTGCACCAGAGAATCCACAGTGGGGAGAGACCCTATGAATGTAATGAGTGTGGGAAAGCTTTCAGTCATAGCTCACACCTCATTGGACATCAGAGAATCCACACTGGGGAGAAGCCCTATGAGTGTGATGAGTGTGGGAAAACTTTCAGGCGGAGCTCACATCTTATTGGCCATCAGAGAAGCCACACTGGGGAGAAACCCTACAAATGCAATGAGTGTGGGAGGGCCTTCAGTCAAAAGTCAGGCCTTATTGAACATCAGAGAATCCACACTGGAGAAAGACCCTATAAATGTAAAGAATGTGGGAAAGCTTTCAATGGGAACACTGGCCTCATTCAGCATCTGAGAATTCACACAGGGGAGAAACCCTATCAATGTAATGAGTGTGGGAAAGCCTTTATTCAGAGGTCAAGTCTCATTCGACATCAAAGAATCCACAGTGGAGAAAAATCTGAATCCACAGGAGTTTAGGGAAAAACTTCAGTTGTAGATTGGGCGTTAATTCAACATTAGAGGAACCATGTGCTGGTGAGAGTTCTTTCACTGTTTAAAAAAAAAAGGGCAGAAAGTTCAACATCATTACAACCTTATCTAGGGTCAGATTGATAGGGGTGGCAAAGTTAGAATAGCTCTTCAGTAGTTTGGGTCCAGTGCCTTGATACAATTTAATTAGCTTGACTATCTTAGGAGGTGTCTGATAGAGTGGAGCTCCTGATGGTCTGATCCTTTAGAAGCTTAAAATAGCATTAGAGAAAAATTGCTTGTGTGGCTTGAGGCACTTAACTTTGTCTTTTTGGTGAGTAGCTGTAGGTTTGAGAGTAGCTACTCCTTCTAGTTTCTCTCTTCTTCCGATCTCCTGTGATCCCTGTCTCCCATTTATTCCCCTAAAGGTGCATTTTGTGCTCCTAATCTGATCTAAGAAGCTGTTTTAGAGTTTGAAGCAGCCTCTGTATGAGACTTACACTTATATTTAACTTTCTGAGCTCCTAGTTCTAGGGGAATTTTTATAAACACTTAATGTATTTATGCTTGAGTGTACATTTTATTTTATTCTAATGCTCCTGATAGTGGAAATCCATATTCCCATGCAAACTCAGAATGCTATATTTTTAACAGCACTCCAGCATTTTTCTTCATATATCACCTTCACTGACTCCCCTGAGTCACTGAGCATCCATACGTATCCTTCACCACCCCCAGCCCCAGTACCTGTGTCAGCAAAGGAAGTGGACGCATTAGTGATGGTTGTGGGAATGATGCAGAGAAAGAGGTGAGTGGAGACTCAGCAGCAGCAGCTCGGCTGCTCTTGAGCTTGGATGGTTTACACCTTTTGGTAATTTGACTCTCCTTTCCACCTTCCCACTGTACACTGTGGTACAAATAGGTATTTATACTATACTCATTAAGGCGTCACACAGGAGACAAAGACAGAGGTGCTTGAAGAAGACATAAAAATCCTGCAAAGAATGTACACTCATCTCTTTTGGTCCATCACAGTACTGCTGTCTCAGGTTCCTGTCAGTCTGCACAAACCCCCTGACTAGATGGTCTGCCACTCTTGCTTTACCTTGAACCCACTTCCTTAGATGGCCTCAGCACCTCACTCACTCTTTATCTGTTTCTTGCCATTAGCTTTACATATCTACAGTGTTCATCGGTTGAGTACTTCACCTAACAATTCCTCTTTCTTCTGAATTCTGGTGCATTCCCTCTATAATCCAGCAAAGACACAATATTAAACTCATCATCACCAGGCACTATAATTCATCATTGAAGCTTTCAGTATACCAAGGGATATTGTATAAAGTAATGAGGCTGGTTTATTACCACCAAGAACTTACACAAGAATCCAAACATGGGTTGTCTTTTTAAATTGGGCAGTTCTAGCTATTCTAATAGTACTGTTATTCCAAGTACTACCACTCCTCTAGATATTTGGAACACTCTTAAGATTCCCATTTAATACATCATTCAAGAAAAACACTCTATTACTCTTTAATTTCATCTCATCTTTGACCATCTGGTTATGCACTTATTCACCATATTTGGAATTGAGTAACTTTTAACTATTTCCAAAATCACCTTTCAGAATGGGAATTGATTCCATTAATCTTATTCAGAAGAATATGAAACACATTGTGATGAAAGCTCCAAGAGAAATTATACATTTTCACACTGTGACTATCCTGAACAGGGACTGCACTTACTAATAATGTTTTATGATTAATGTTTTTAAAAGTCAGTCATAAAATAATACATCATAGAGGTCTGCCTTTTGGATCATAAATTCCTTCCCTGTAACATCCCTTCTGTACCCCACTATGGCCCATATTGATTACTGATCACATCAAAGTTATCTACACCTATTTCATTGAGCCATTGATATCCACGTGTCATTTGTCATCCTGGTTTCCTTGGTTAACTTTTTCAAAACAATGCTTTTCATTATCTTTTATTTTCTTATCCTCTCTTCTCCCTCTGCTTTCCCTCTTTTTAGCCTATAGATTACTATTCCTAACTCCTTTGTACTTGAAATTATAAGAAACCAGAAACAAATCTAGTTGTCTCTAGATCTTTGCTCTCTGCTTCAGTCGTGCCTTACTTTCTATAAAATACTAATTCTGCCTGAGGCCAATGTTACCTGTGTACAAATATCATACAGGATGGGTGTGTTGTCAGAGGGAGAGTGTGTGTATGCATGTGCATGTGTGCACACACTCCTCCCAAATAGTTCAGAGGAACAGTAGTCTTCCAGTGAAAGCTGTTAGCAGAGCACCATGGTATTGAAATGACTTGCAGATGTACCAGCTAACGTCTCTTTACATCACTCAAAGTAATGCATAGCCAGATTACTTAACTCTTAGAATTACTGAGCATCTGGCAGAAATTTAGAGAAAAGAAAATATGACCAGAAAGATGAGTATTACACTGGGATGCATGTGAGAAAAGACTATGACTTGATAGAACAATATATGTCAAGGCTGATTCAGCACACCTATAGATGTAGCCAAATAGTTCGCGACAGCAGAAAAGGGCTGTTGTTTCTTCGTGGGCATAAGTAGAAGTCCTTTCTTAGTCTACAGTTTTCACTCTTAGCATTGATCAGTCTGTATGACCTTACTTTGAGCTCCTAACTATGAGTGACAGCACTAAATTCCTTTATCCTGCAGATTCTATTTTTATACTTGTAATCTGAAATTAACTGTTCACCAGTACTTTCTTCCCCTATACTCAACTTTTTAAGACCTGGCATAATAAAGTGGTTCTTCCGTAACAGTTGCCATCCAACACGGTCCTAGGAGAGACATCTTAGGTTTCAAAGATTTTCTGCATTGAGTAAGGTGGTCGTGGTTGATTCCCATATAGAACAGTTAGTTTTATTCTTGGTTCTGAGGGTCTAGATATTGCTTTTATTTATTGAGCACTTACTATGTGTCAAACCCTATTTCTCATGCTTATTGATAGATATTTTGATATCTTATGATATCCTCCATTTTATAGATGAGGAAACTGAGGCTTAGCTGAAAAGTTAGTGGGGAAGAAAATAGGCAATATAGTGCAAATCCATTACAATTACTGGAAAATTGGTTGAAAATGTCATTTTGGTTTATTATTATATCATCTTTAAATGTTGATAATTTTGGTCCTTTGTAGCATTAGAAAACTAAATTCTACAAGTAAAATATGTTTAAAACTTGGGAGGAAAAGCAGTAACTTATAACTCAAATACATTTCTCTCTAAACTGCCCCAGGGAAAGTAGCATTATGGGGGAAAATGAAATATCCATGTCTTAGGCCAGGCAAATGGACATTTAGGATGACAACAGTAAGTTCATCTACAGCATAAGATGTGTAAAAGCTTCAATTTTACTGCTCATTTCCAACTACCATTTTCTTATTCTGTCATTCATGGTTTTTCAAACATGTCATCTGTTGTTAAACCCCATTTCCTCATTAATGCATTCTTAAAACTCATTTTTGGCTTTTGTACTCACGCCACTGAAATGTCCTCAGAATCACCAGTGGATAAATATTAATGCCTTTTCTTAGCTCTTATCCTTTTTTTTTTTTTTACCAACCCAGGTAACATGTGGGACCTTAGTTCCCTGACCAGTGGTTGAACCTGTGCCCCCTGGGATGCAGAGTGGATACAGAGTCTTAACCATTGGACTGCCAGGAAGGCCACAGTTCTTGTCCTTCTTACATTTCATAATTTTTGAATTGACCCTGCATCTTGGGAATTCTCCTTTGAGAGTTGGTCGATTTTCTTCACTTTTAACTTTTCTCTATGCATCTTTTTTTCCTCCTCTCCACTGAAAAAAAAATCCTTGTCTTAATTTTATTCACTACTTTTTCTGTACTCCTCTTTATCCATTGGATTATACTTCTGTATTTCAGTAACTTAATATTTTCTACCCTATAGGTTGTCTCTTAACTTGTGAACTTTTCCACGGGTACTTCTATAACTTGGTATTTGCAGACAGAACTCGTTACTGTGTCCCCAACCACCATTCTCCTTTTAAATAGGCATCTTTGGTTAACATCTTTACCCTTAACAGACTCACTACCCTTCATATTTCTTATCCCAATCTTGGAGTGGTCTTTTAGTCTTTTTTCTGGTTTTCACTGTTCATGTCCAATATCTTATTAAGTTGTTCCAATTCTTAGTTTTCTCCTTGAGGCTGGATTTTTTTTTCCCCTTCCCTTGTTTCTGCCATTTCTTCGTATCCTTCTCTGCAGATACATATCATCTGAGGCCCAGGTTATTGTAATTCTTCCTTTTCAGTTTTCTTACTCCCAAGATTCCCACCTTGTTTGCTTCCAAGATTGTCTTCCTCAAACTCCATTTTTCTGATGTCTCATTTCACAAGATAATCAAGATAATTTTCACATCAGGTAATTCCTATCAGAGCAGTGATAGGACCTTGTCCTCTATTACCTTGTCCTCAAATTTAATCTGCCTCAGCCTCATTTCTCTCTAGCATATTCACCTTGATTCATCATAGTCACACTTCCTGTGACCTTCCACTGATGTCTTATAAAGCCCTTGCCTCTGTGCCTTTCTCATGCTGTTCCTTTTGCTTAGATTTTTCTTTGGCCCCAGCTCATGTTCATTACTCCCTGCAAAGACTAGCTTCCATTATATCTTCTGAGTGAGCTCTCCCTGATGATTTCACCCTTATTCTGTGCTGCCTCAGCACTGATCCTTTAAATTTGTAGTGTGGTCCATGCACTTACTAATATGTTGTTTTGTAATTATTTTCTAGCACTCTGTATTGTAGTTTCATGTTTGTATTTATTTCCAAAATTAAATTGTAAGCTCCTTGAGGGCAGGAATAATAACTTTTACATTTGTATCTCCTCACCCCTTAGTGCCTAGTACAGTGCTGAGCACATAGTAGGCGTTTAATAAATGCTTGTCAAATTACTGTGTGCATTGTTTATGGTGTTCTATCTACAGAAATATTTACACTGCTTTCAAGGATATATGTCTCTTCATTTTATGCACAGACCCATTTTCATTATACGTCAATAACTGCATTCAAGATGGAAGACAAAAAAATTAAATGTTAGGAGGGTATGTGTGAAAAGTTGAAATGTGAAACTTTTCATTTGTTCAGATTTGTTTGTTGGTTAAGAAGGAAAATAGGAAACTCTATTAAGATTACTGCTTATCATTGCAAAAGTGCTTGAAAATAGGCTTTTTGTGTCTCAAGTAGACCATTGGTTCCTAACTGGAGAAATTTAGCAATGTCTGGAGACAGTTTTGGTTGTACTATCAAGGGATGGCTGGGATACCACTGGCATCTAATGGATAGACACTAGAGATGTTGCTAAACGTTCTGTGTGCACAGGACAGCCCCCACAAAAGAAAACATTCCCAATTTCCATATGTTTTAATAGTGCCTGAGAAACCCTAGTATAGGTATATTTAAGGTATATAGCAAAAAGAAGAGAGAGAAAATACTAGATTTTTTTTACAATTAGAAAAATCAGCTATGCCAAGCTTTATGAGAATCTGTTTATATATTTTATAGTTTGTAATATTATGAAAGCCTTAATGTTTGGACTTCACAGCAACATACATGTATGTTTTAAGGTTGCTTTCAGCATCAGATCTGCCTTCCAAAGTGGAAGGTGGTGTAGGAGTACAAGTCTAGTTTTAGCCTTCTGTATCTTGCTTATTCCCATAAAATGAAAGATAAAACACTGGGGCCTATCTTTAGCAGGGAGCCTGCAAATCAAAGATTTAGCTTTGGGGACAACACATGACACTTAACCACCCCTTGGGCAGCCACTAGACAGGAATGACTGCTAACTTCCTAACGAAACCCCAAGCAGACCCACATAAAGTTTTTAACATACTCTGTTAATCCTGCTTAAGACGATACATGTAGGGGGAAATATGGCTAGTCAGAAATACAATTAAGAAATTAAGTAGTGTAAAAGAAGACTTTTTAAAAACTAGTCTCTTTTTGCAACTCAATGGTACTTTTGACAGGTTTTAAAAGGATCAATCCCAGAGTTAGAAAAATAAGTATAATACATCAAAGAAATAACTGTGCTCTGATGTGTTTAATTAGTCTAGAATGCTAGGTTTGGAAGTGACTTGAAATCATTTTCCCGTCTATTATTCTGTAAGGGAAGGTCCAAAAAGGTCATGTGGCTTGCACCAGGTGATCCATTAAGTTAATGGTACAGGTGGAAACAGAATCCAGGCTTCCGGAGGCTTTACCTCTTTGACTAGTTATGACCCTTGTTTTATGTTCTTGATTCATCCAGTACCATAGAATGTATTCATACTTAGTGTCGCCTCTTGTAGTGTTTCATTTTAGGAATTATTACTTTTATCAGCTTGTATGACCAAACCAGTACACTGGTGTCTTGAGTTAAATTCTCTAATGAACGCCTGAGTAGTCCAAGGGATTTTGCAGTATTGCAGCCGCTTTTTGAAGGTCTTGCTCTCTCAGGTCGGTCCGTAATCTTGAAGAAAGCACACAGGATGTGCAGCATTGGCATTCAGAACACTAACGATGAAAACCGGCGCTCCTGCCGTCCAGGGTGTCGGTTTTAGGCATCCTGTAACACTGGAGATGCCCTTTCCCAGCTGCAGTCTTTAAATTCCAATATTCAAGGCTGGTTCTACCCTGGGTAAAATCAGGAAGTTAAAAAAAACCACCTTCGTGACGGGTGAGGCAGGAATTGCGAATCTTGTGAAAACTACGGTCAGAGGCTCTCACAAAAATGAGCAGGGACGAAACCTGCAGTTGGCCCCCGAACCCAGGGCTGCAAGTCAGGATATAAGCGAGGCCCCGCCCCGGAAGTGATGAGAGACTTCCGCCCACGAGGAATTCTCGAAGCTGGTTGCTTCTCTGGCTGCAGTAGGGTTCTCTGCTGTTCGACGGTAGTGTGGCGGGCACTGCTCAGCTGCAATCCCTTGGATTCCCTCTCCCTGGGCGGGCCGGGGTGGATCTGGGCGTGAACCTCGAGAGGCGGGACGGTGAGCAATAACCCCAGATGCAACCTCCCGTCGAAGGGTTTTTCTTAACGACTTACTGCTGCTAGAGTACACATTTGGAACTACTCTTGGGGTTATAACCCCAATCTTTCCTGAGGTCTTCAGAGTTTTATTGAATCACGTTAACAACGTGTACACCTGGTACATTTGGAATCAATGCCCACCAAATCCCTCAGCTTGCCATCCCAAACAAAAGGGAGAAACAGCAAATGATTGGAAATAAGTACTAGGAGATCTGAATTTAGGAGAAGTTTCCTCTTCCACGACTGCATTCTGTGTCCATATTTCCCTTAGAATGCAGAATACATCTCTATTTCAGCTTGGCAATAAGTGATGGCGGTTCCCCTTTAGCAGTAATTTTTCCGTCCACACCTGGGCAGGCCCGCCTTCCATCAAGGGCGGTGCTGTTCTCTCCTGACACACCTCTGCATCTGCTCTCCCAGTACTGTCCCCAAGGCGATGGCAAAGAGATTCCTGTGGCACAGGGCCGCGCTTGCTAATCCCAGTCTGTGATCAGACAGCCCTTTGCAAGTTAGCCCCTTATTTGACATGGCTTTTTACCCCCTTCCATAACCCTCAGTAACAGGGTAACAGCTATGGCAGTCTGCTTTCTCTGAGTAAATTAATGTTTGTTTTACAGAAGTATTGCAGAAAAGGGAGGCCCTCACGAGGAATCTTACTGAATTGCAGATTCTCCGGTTACAAGAAAGCTGCCTGTCTGAATTTTTAGAAGAGCTGCTTTTGCTGGTTCCAAAGATTCTGTTACTAGAAAACTCTGCTCTGAGCTGGCTCCTGCAGCTCCTTTGATAATGGCTGAGGCCAGTTCCTGACTCTTCTGCTGAGTAATACCAGGTCTGGGAATGGGAGCCACATTGTGGGAAGCGGGTGGTGGGAGAGGGTTGGGAAGGTGGCTAAGCTAGAGGACCTCAAGAGGGAGTTGGATAAACCTAGAAAATAGGGCAGCAAAGGAGAGGTATTTATTGTTATCTTAAAACTTTTAGTCTGTTAGTGATTCTTATTTTTCCCTACGTTTTAGGCATGCAAGTCTAAAGTCAAACTGTCTCTATGCTTCCATTTCCTCATCTGTAAATGAGGATGATAAAAGCACCTGCCTTTTACATTGCATGAACATTATGTAGTACATAAGAAGTGCTATCTAGATATTTGTTGTACTTATTTCTTCCTCTCCTTACTTTCCTGGAACTTGCCCTACTCTGCTGATTTATTTGCTTATACAGTGATTCTCTCATAATTTCACGTGTTTTTTTCTAGGTCCCAGTTCTTGCACACAGTCAAGAAGTGATCTATTAGTAAATGTCAACTCTGGCAGCAGAAGGAGAACCACTGTCTCTCCAGATCCTAGCCAGGAATATACCATTGAAATATTAATCATAGGGACCCTTCTTCCTATAGTAATCTCCCTACAGGAGAATTATTAAGTGTTAAACTTTGACATTCTGTAGTTTTCTGAAGATCTGGATGTAAGATCTCCCTTACATCTATCTTGCTCACCAGTGCCACACTGTTTAATTACTGAGGCTTTGTAATACATGTTTAAAATTCTTCAGAGCAACTGCTGATAGGGCCCACATAGGGTCTCATTATTAAGGTGGCTGATTATGTTGACCTCACAAACAAAGAATAAAATCACAGTGATCCTTGAGACTGACCAAATTGCCCAAACATTCTGACTTCTCACTGGTGCCTACCTTCTCAAAGCTATGAGACCACCAGATTCCGGACCTCTGGCTATGTGACCACAGGACTCAACTACAGGCTAAAAATTAACCATCCCTTCAGAGAATTTTTCATTGGCAGGGTATAAGAGAGACCCTGTCAGAAAGGGAGGACACTGGTTCTCTTTAAGGGCTAGTCACTCTGTCATTTCCCTCTAATAAATTTCCCTTTTCTTGCCTGACTTCCCAGCTCTCTTTCTTTTTCTCTGCACTTGCCTTACAACTGCCCCTTCATTGCCCTTCTTCAGCTTTTCCATGCAGAGTCTTGCTTGTTTAGTTTTCTGTATTAACTTTAAAATCTACTTATTAAAAAGTTCATATTTTATTGGAATAGTGTTAAATTTACAAATAAATATAAGAATTACTTTCTGAGACCTAAGCCTTGAAGATCCATTCGCTCGTTCCCCTGGGTGGCAAGTGAAAGGAGTAGAGACTAAACAGATCTAGGTTCAGATTTCATCTCTGCTCTCTTATCAGTTGCCCAACCTCTGAAAATTTATCTGTTTCTCAGATTTCTTATACATGAGAGGGTGACTGTAATGTCTGCCCCGAAAGTCTGTGTCTGTGTGTGCACAGTAGCTCAGGTTTGTCCCACTCTTTGTGAGCCCATGGATTATAGCCTGCCAGGCTCCTCTGTCCATCGGATTCTCCAGGCAAGAATACAGGAGCAGGTTGCCCTTTCCTCCTCCAGAGGATCTTACCCACCCAGGGATTGAACCCAGTCTGTTACGTCTCTTACATTGACAGGCAATATTTTACCACTGTGCCACCCAGGATTAAAAGAGCTAAAAAGCCTAAAATGCTTTTTTCTATATAAATAGAATCGTCTTCTCTTGCTCCTTTCAGAGAGTCCTCTCACGAACCACTGAGAGGGAAACCTCCAGGATCCTAGAGCGGACTACGTGGTATCTGGGGCGGGGTTCTGCGGAAGTTGACCTGTGGAGGCCACTGCAGGAATCAGAGGCCCCTCGGGTCGTCAAAGCACGGTTTTCCGGGTGAGACTTCGACTTTCTGCTGGGTGTGGAGTAAGCTCTTGAGCGAAGGGCCCCCGAGGGGGGTGGTTACCTCAGACCTGCCCCTCTGCCGCCCCTCCTCTCTCTGCCTCTTCTTCTCACACACCTCCTTTTTTACTCCCTTTTCCTTTCCCTCTTCCCTTTTTTCTGTCCTTTCCCTCCGACGCCTTCTTTTCCTGTCCTTTCCCTCTCCCTCCCCCACCCCCCATCCTCTGGGTCGTTGCCATACTGGCACTGGAAATTCCCCTGCAGCGTCTCGGAGGCCCGGAGGACTGACAGTCGCTGGTCGCTGGAGTGCCCCTCCTCGCTTTTCTGGCGAAGTCCTATTTTTGGGTGCGAGGAAGGGGAGTCGGAGAATGGAGCAGACCCTTTCTCTTGGCCCTGTGTCCCCAGCTCTGCTTTGTTGTGATAACTTTAGTAGCTCTCCGACACTTGACAGTTTTATTTGGATGTTCTTGAAATATTTTCATTTGCCTCAAAGGAAAAAACTCAGTTTAGCTGAACATTCATGAAAGTTCCTTTCTTTTGATGTCTACATTGCATTTCCCCTCTGCCTCCAGCCGTTTTCTTCTGTTTAAAAGATGAGAGCAAATGTCCCTCTTTTTTCTTGATACCTTTTCTTTGACATTAAAAATGTTAAAGTAACTGATAACAACTCAGAGAGGTACTTTATACATATTTGTAGCCTTAAGATTGACATTGACTTAAGGCCACTATAAAGGACAATAAATACAATATTTGTGATCATTAAGTCAATGTCAGCGATTTGGGGCCGAGAGGAAAAAAAGACAGCGCACTGAAGCAGCCACAGGAAAGACTGTTTCAGGTGTGAGCAAGCTACAGACCAAAGGGGCTTTGGGTAGGACTAGGAGTTCTCCATGTTTTGCTAAGGAGAAAGCAACTTGCCCCATAAGCTCCATGGTAACCACATTTCTGGACTTTGGGCAAGGGTTCATTTGTATGTGAACTGTGAACCAAGTGAGCCTTTTTCAGTATTGCCAAAGAGCTACTTACTGTTCAGAGAAACTTGATAAAACAGCATCACTTAGAAATAAATGGCATGTGGAATGTAGTGTCCATGTGACGATAAACTTATCACTGATTTGTAGGGCTTGAAACTGAATTAAGGAAATTAGAGGCTTAAAATAAGAAACATTAGAAAGATGCAGGAAGCTAATAAAATTGGCTACCTAATGGAGGTGGGAAATGGGGAATCAAGGTGGAAACAAGTTTTCTCTGTATCTTTTTAGATCATTTTGACTTGAATTGTATATTACCTGTTCAAAAACATGGACAAATTTTTTAATAGAACTTTTGCAGTAGTTTCTGACGTCTGGTCATTTTAGATTTACAGAAAAATTGTGAAAGTAGTACAGAGAGTTCTTACATCCTCCCACATTTAGTTTCCCTATAGTTAACATCTTACCTTACATAGTATATTTATCACAACTCTTGAGTTACTATTGCATATTATTATTATCAAAGTCCGTATTTTATTCACACTTCCTTAGTTTTTACCTAGTGTCCTTTCTTTATTCTAGGATCCCATCCAGCATACCGTGTTACATTTAATTGTCATGTCTCCATATGTTCCTCTTGGCTGTAACACTTTCTCACACTTTCTTTGGTTCTGATGACCTTGACATTTTTGAGGCATACTTGTCAGGTTTTTTATAGGATGCTACTCAATTGACATTTGACTGATATTTTTCTCATTACTATACTGAGGTTAGAGGTCTTGGGGAGAAAGACCACAGAGGTGAAATGCCATTCTTATCAAGGGTTCACACTGTCAACTTATGACTGTTGACACATAAAACAACTTGTAAAATGGAAAAAGGCAGAGGGTGATAATTTGTGGAATTTGAGTTTGAAGCAAAAGTTTTATTAAGTTTGGAGATAGAATTGATGAAATATTGTTGTCAGGGTATAAGAGTGGGAACAATCCAACAAGTTATCCACACATTGGTCTAAATTACAAAGATGAAATGGACCCTTCTTTGGAGAGATGGAGGATCTGTTCTGTCACAATTCCAGAGGAGACAGAACATCCCTGTTGCTAAAATACTGTCTGCCATAGCCGCGTCAGCTAGTAGTGGTAGCAGTAGACAGAGCTTATTTAATCTCCATATCTCTCTTCCAACACAAGTAGTGTGGACTTGTGAGTGGTAAAACAATAATGATGTTATTGTTGTTTTCCCAAATTAATTCAATATCAGTTGAATTTCTCATTTTTTGCCTTCTCTATTCCTGTGCTCCTTCATCTGTTCTACTAGCTGCAAATCTCTTCAACTCCTATCTTGTTTCCCAATTTAATTAAATGTGACAAAAAGTCTTTTTAAGTAGAAACTATGTTATTTTATATACTCACTTACAGCCCAGATTTTGTGTTTGAGTTGCCTTTTAAAGTATATATTTAAATAGTATATTAGTCAGGTGTTCATTCCAGGAGTTTTGTGGTAGTACCAAATGAATAAAAACATTTGATCTGGCCACATTTGATCAGTGTGTCCTAGGTTTGTGGAACATGTTTTAGAGTCCTAGTTAAGTCTAAGTTGCTCAGACATATCTGACTCCTCCAAACCCGTGAGCTGTAGCCAACCGGGCTCCTCTGTCCATGGAATTCTCCAGGCAAGAATACTGGAGTGGGTAGCCATTCCCTTCTCCAGGACATCTTCCCACCCAGGGATCAAACCCAGGTCATATTGCTTTAGCTGCAGGGAATAAATCGCATTTGAAAGGTGTGTTTATTGTTTCAGGAATCAAGGCCAAAGGTATGAACAAGGTGTTAATTCTGAAGGGAAGATTTTTGTAAGGATGGATCCACACCAGAAGGTCCCCAGCACATATAATGGGGATACTTTACAGACTCCTGAGAATGAAAAAGCTTCTTATAACTGGTATGAGGACCAGTTAGAAAGTCATGAGGCGAGGTCTGCAGAAGAAAGACGGTATACATGCAGTGAATGTGGAAAGAAGTTTGCTCAGAGCTCAGGCCTTGTTCGACATCAGAGAATCCACACTGGAGAGAAACCCTATGAGTGTGATCACTGTGGAAAAGCCTTCAGTGTACGCTCAACTCTCACTGTGCATGAAAGAATCCACACTGGTGAGAAACCCTATACTTGTAATGAGTGTAGGAAAGCTTTCAGTGTGAGGGCACACCTGATTATACATCAGAGAATCCACAATGGAGAGAAACCCTATGAATGTAATGAATGTGGCAAAGCATTTAGTGTGAGCTCAGACCTCATCAAACATCAGAGAATCCACTCTGGTGAGAAACCTTATGAGTGTGATGAGTGTGGGAAGGCCTTCAGTGTGAGTTCAGCCCTTATCAAACATCAGAGAATCCACACAGGAGAGAAGCCATATGAGTGTAAGGAGTGTGGGAAGGCCTTCTATGTGAACTCAGCCCTTATTAATCATCAGAGGATTCATTCTGGAGAAAAGCCCTATAAGTGTGGAGAATGCAGAAAAGCATTCAGCCAAATCTCAACGCTTATTCATCACCAGAGAATCCATACTGGAGAGAAACCATACGAGTGTGATGAGTGTGGGAAAGCATTCCGTGGGAGCTCTAATCTTACTAAACACCAGAAAATACATGCTAAAGGAAAGTGTAATCAGTGACTTAACATGGTGAAGATATTATAAAGGCTTTTATTTTCTTTCAAGCCAGAAGTTGTCACCAGAAGAAGGGTATGACAAAAATTAATGCTTTAGTTGACACTTCAATTTCTTGGAATATCAGAGAAATGAGAAGTCAATGAAAAATGACTACCATTATAATGATCAACTCGGTCTCTAAAATCATACCCACTTCTGAGAATGCAGCTTTACAAATCATAAGGTAAATAATGTAGTTTGTTGTGGTTTAGTAAGTTCAACCTCAGTATCTCTAACATAAGTTTTACTTTTTTTATGTGCAAACATTTTGTTGTTATTGTTGCTACCAGTTTATAGATGAAACATTAAATTTTGAAATTGGAAGTGATGTTGGTTGGTGGAGACTAACATATCCTCTTTGAATCTGGAAATACTGGAGTCTTTTTTTGGTGCTGTCTTGGCAGTGAGACAATCCCCACACCTGTCCTGATTCACCTGACCCTTGCCTGCCGCTATTCCATGGATAAGAATAAAAAGCACTGCAGGAGCCAGCACTTCTTTCTTATTGGGCCTCTTGCTAATGTTATTGCAGTAAGTAATTAAAGGCTTGACTGTGTCTCATTTTTGCTTGTGTTATAATGCAACACATTCTCACTGCTCCAGGATCCAGTCCAGAAGAGTATTTCTGTCTTGAATATGTTACACTTATGGCAAAACAAAAACAGAGGTAGGACCACATGATGACTTTTGAAGCATCTACTCAGGAGGAGCATATGTCATTCCCGTTAGGTTTTGTTAGTTAAAGCAAGTCAGCTAACCAAGCTTTTTTCCCCATCCATATGATTGAAAAAATGTAAAGCTTACATAGAGGACAGTGAATAAGGAAAGTAATATAATCTATCATTGAGATGGTGTATCTACCATATTGGCCAATGTTTATGCAATGTTTTCTGTACCCAGGCTTTCTCTGAGTGCCTTATATGTGTATTTTTCTCAATAAAAAAATAATGATATGACATACATACTACTATACAGTAACTCCCCTACATATGAACCTTCACGTTGTGAACTTTCAAAGATTCGAACATGCATGCACATGTCCAGTTGATAGCTTACGGTGAACGGTGTTGGATTCGTGATCTCCGAAAAAGAAAATTTAACTTCAGGATCAGGGACCAGGCTTGATCACTGAAGGCTCTTGTGTGGCAGAAGTTTTATTACAGTGAAAAAGGACAGAGACAGCTTCTGACATAGACATCAGAAGCAGACAGAGAATGCCCCCTTACTAGTCTTAGCAAGGGAGCTATATACTTTTTCAGTTATTAGAGTAAATCAAAAGAATGTCTCAAGATTATAAAGGTCACTCCCACAACTTACATTTTAAGATGACAGGATTAGAACTAACAATAGAAAGGTCTTACTAGACCCACTCCCACAATTTATATTTTAAGATTACAGGATTAGTCAGAAGGTTCTCAAAGATTAACATGACTCCTCCTCAAGAGCCTCAGACCGCTTTCTCCTTGGGGACCCCGGACTTCTTATCAACCTACCTAAGAATTGACTTTCTCCCAGTCATGTAAGTTAGTTCACCTGTCTGATGTACATTGTCATGTGTGTGCATCCTCTACAAGTGGTTATGCTTTTGTGTACTTCATAGTACTGTATAGAGTACAGTAGTATGGTATCTTTATTTCAAGCCCAAGATGTCCAGAAGTAAGCATAAAAGCAGCAGTGATGTAACTTGCTATACTGTACTTTTAAAGATACTGTACTGTAATATTAAAATGTTTTATTTTTTGTGTTTGTTTTTTATGTATTATTTGTGTGGAAGGTATTATAAACCTATTACAGTTCAGTATTATATAGCTGACTGTTAGTCAGATACCTAGGCTAACTTTGTTGAACTTAAGAACAAACTGGACTTACAAACACGCTCTTAGAATGGAACTCATTTGTATGTAGGGGACTTAACTGTACTCCCATTTTACAGCTAAAGAAATTGAGAAACAGAGACATTAAGTCATTTGTCCAAGGTCATGCAGGTAGAAATGGTAGAGCAAGGAATTGAAACCAGAAGTTTAACTTGACAGTCTTTTCTCTTAACTGCTGTGCTACACTATGAAAGTTTAATCTGAAGGTTGTTTATGTACTACAGTGAGCCTTAAAAGGTTGGGAAGGTCCCCTGGAGAAGGAAATGGCAACCCACTCCAGTATTCTTTCCTGGAGAATGCCACAGACAGCGAAGCCTGGCAGGCTATAATCATGGGGTTGCAAAGAGTCGGACAACAACTGAGCAACTAACACACTGTGCTGGTAAAAACTTTAAAGGTGAGATTTAAGTCTTCTTCAGTCTCAATCTGTCTTTACTTCTAAGTAACTCTTAGAGGTAATCCATTTAAGATTACTTAGGCTAATCCACCTGGCTGGGTCTCAGTTTTACATCCATAAAAATAAGGAGAGAGGCCAGCTATTCTCTGATATCCCCTACAGCTTTGAGATTTTTATAATCTCTCCAAATAGATTGTAAAATGCTTTGTTATATGATGACTTCTTTTTTAATCTACTACTTTATGTATTGTTATGTTCACAAGAGCTCTTGAATAAATGAGTCTCTGCACCAATTCCTCCTTTCTGCTTTACATTAGTGATAATACTAATAATGAGTAGTTTGCATTTAGCAAATCTGTTCCAGGTACTTTTTCAGGCTCCTTAGGGTAAATTATTTCATTTAAAAGTTTAGATGCTACATTTAGAATAAAAGCAAAGCTGAAAAAAAGAAAATTGCTCTAAACATCCCTTTTGAGATCTTAGAACACAGTAAAATAAACCCAAGAAACAAAAGGAAGAAAATACTGAAAAGCTGCAATTAAAGGAAAAGCAAGTGTATTTTCTTACTTAGAACTTAAGCACAGGAAGAGTTTTGTGTTTTGTAACTTCTCTCTTTAGGCTACTCTCATATATGTCACATTTGACACCCTTTTTCTGCCTCTGGGGAAAAGGTGCTAATATCATGATCAACCTGTTCTTTCAGATGGTAACTCCTGGCCTTAAACAAGGAGTCTGTTTCAAAGCAGAATTTTCCAGAAGTCTAACACACAAGGAGATGTTCGGAAGATCAAATGGGAACATCATCAGGGGCTCCACACTGGACAAGTTCATAGGCTTCTGAATAATTTACCCAAGTGAGGGAGGAGCCCCTTTGTGGATACACAGTTTACTTTGCCTCAAACAAGGGAGAATAGCACTCAGATAAAAAGGCCTAAGAACATCTGGGAGAATTTACCCTGAAGTTCAGTCCTTTGTGACTCAGCTGGTAAAGAATCTGCCCACAATGCGGGAAACGGGTTCAATCCCTGGGTTGGGACAGTCCCCTGGAGAAGGGAAAGGCTACTGACTCCAGTATTCTGGCCTAGAGAATTCCACGGACTCTATAGTCAATGGGGTCACAAAGAGTCAGACACAACTGAGTGACTTTCGCTTCACTCAGTCTTGTCAATGCTCCGGGTGTGGGAAATTCTCCATTCAGCTTGTGTGGAGTTTCCAACTTCAACTGTAATAAAAGTAGCAGCCACTCACTGTAAAGGGAGTGGAAGTCAGTCATTCAAAAATACCCCCTCCCTAATAAAATGAACCCTGGCACCCCAGCAGCCCTGACCAAGCACCAGCATGTCCAAAGTTAAAGAAAGCCCTATAGATCCTCAACTTGGAATGACCTTTGTGTAATCCAAGTCTCATTAAACAACAGAGAAGCCATCCTGAGAAGAGTCTCATGAGAGTAAAGAATGTGGCAAAACCTTCAGACACTGGAATAAAAAAAGATACTGGCATCTGAAATATATAAAGAACTCCTAAAACTGAACAATAAGAAAATAATTCAGTTTTTTAAATGGGCAAAAGATCAGAACAGACACCTCACCAGAGAAGATACACAAATGGCAAATAATCATGAATAGATGCTCCAAATCATATCTTGTTAGGAAATTGCAAGTTAAGATACCACCACACACCTATTAGAATAGCTAAATTGCTAAACAGTGACAACTCCAAATGCTGATGAGGATGTGGAGCAATGCATTCTCATATATTCCTGGTGGGAATCCAAAATGGTACAGTCACTTCAGCAAACTGTTCAGCAGTGTCTTACAAAAGTAAACATACTCTTTTACTCAGCAGTTTTCACTCCTTGGTATTTACCCCAATGAACCAAAAACATGTCCACAAAAGAACCTGCACAAGGGTGTTCTTAGAAGCTTTATTCATAATTGTTAAAATGTGGAAGCAAGCAAGATTTCCTTTAGTAGTTTCATGAATTAACAAACTGGTACATCCAGAGAATAGAATGTTCAGCAGTAAAAAGAAATGAACTATCATGCCATGAAAATCCATGGAGAGAGACTTACTTCCCTGGTAGTTCAGTGGTAAGACTCCATGTTCCCAGTGCAAGGATCCCGGGTTTGATCCCTGGTCAGGGAACTAAGATCCCACATATTGGATGGTGTGGCCAGAAAAAAGAAAACTCATGGGAAAATGTTATATGCTTTTTGCTAAGTAAAGGGACCAGTCTGAAAAGGCTACAAACTGATTCCAACTATTAATACATGACATTGTAGAATAAGCAAAAGTATGGAGACAGTAGGAAGATCAGGGAGCTGTGGGGGTTGAAGTGTGGGAAAGATGAATGTGTGGAGCATAGGGAAATTTTAGGGCAATGAAACTGTTTAATATGATACTTGTAATAGTTGATGCATGTTATATATTTTCCAAAACCCTAAGAATGTACTACACAGTTTACATTAAACTTAATATTAACTATGGACTTAAGTTAATAATACTTTATCAATATTGGCTCACTAACTGTAACAAAGATACCTCACTAATGCAAGATGATAATAATAGAGTTTGTATGTAGCCAGGAAAGGGGTTTGGAGGGTATGGGAAGCTTTTTCTATAAACCTAATAGTACTGTTTAAACTATAATGTTTTTTAAAGCTATTTTTCAGCAAAAAGACATAACTGGGAATAAAAAGGGAAGTGGGAGCCAGTATCTGGTGTTCATATAACAGCTCATACCCAGAATGTAAAAAAACTTTTCACTCATCAATAATAAGTACACTACAAAAAGGGCTCGTGGCTAACTCCTGCAGCAACGTTGTGGGTGATTTAACCTTTATGGATCGGCTCGGATTTCTTCAGGAGGCAGTGGGAGAGAGAAGGGAGTAAAAATCCAAACTGCCAGAGTCAAGTGCTGCGCCCACCCTAGCCAAACCAGGAGAAGGTAGCAAAACCTGCAGCCAAGAAGATCATAGAGAGGACCACGCCTTCGGTTTCCTAGGCAGGCACCTTCCGGAAGCAGCCTCGTGGTCCTGGGCGCCTTTTACTCTGTCGTTCTGGGTGCCTGCTTAGTCCGGCAGGATGGTGATTACAGTTTTCTCTTAACTACTTGCCAGGGATAGTCTCCGGGAAGCGCCAGCCATCCCCAGAGCTGCGGGTGAGCGGTCGTACTTCTCCCCAGCCAAGCTGCAGAATTTCCAATCTCTGTTTTCGCGAGGGGCAAAAGTGGGACAGGGAGGGCTCTTTGCAGCGTGGGTGTCCTGTTCTCCCTCCAACAAGTGCACACGGTGCTTAGTAATGAGCTTCAGTGACGATTTGTCTCTATTGTTAGATTTGGATTTGTTGCTGTTTGTTTGTTTTTTACTTTATAGAATAGCACAAATGACTCAGATTTTGCTTGCTAATTCTCATTATTTCACACACTATAGATGCTGGGGGTATCTCATCCGACGGAGAGGTGCTTATTGCTTTACTCCCTGAACGAAGACTATAACGAGTTTATGGAACTTTAGTGTTTTACTCCCCTGTATAATTAGCTTGATTCCTTTAAAAATGATAAAGGTCTTACCGGAAAAACAACTTTGACTCTGCTCATGTGCTTTAACTCTACAGGAGTGTCCCAAAATCCATCCCTTCTTGCTGAAGCAGTTCTAGGAAGGGATGGTAGGTTATGAGTACGCATAAAAGAAAGCCTTGGCAAATGGACTATGGTGATCCCACAGTCTCTTGCTCTTGTGCTTTTCTTCCTGTAATGTAGTTTTTATAAACTAAAGTCTTTAAATTCTAAGAATGTGGCCTTATTTCCCACAATAGAAGTTCTGATACTAATATTTATGTTGCATTTTGTATATCAGCAGCAAAGTGCACTTTCTCACTTAATTATCTGTTTTTGTGGGTCTCAGGAATATCACCTTGGCAGTGAGTCTGCATTACTAATAACATAGGTTCTTGACTGCTCTGGTTATTTTGCTGCTTTAATAGTGGGTTCTTCTCCCACAGGAGTGCTCTGGTTCTAAGGTTCTTCCTGATTCCTGGGATGTAAGCCAAGTGAATCCTATCCTGAGCCATTGCAGTCTAAGATGTCCACCAAGTTGAGAGAGGATCCAGTCTTGACTCCTGTGGTTCGCACCCCAGAGGAGCAGGAGGGTCTGAGAATAGTGAAGGTAGAGGAAGAGGAGAACCGTGCTTGGGAGCAGAAGCCTGGACAACTAGGGAATGTGCACACTTATCAGGAGCTTCTTCGTCAGCACTTCAGACAATTCTGCTATCAAGAGGCCCCTGGACCTCGAGAGGCACTGAGACAGCTCCGGGAGCTCTGCCAAAAGTGGCTGCAGCCTGAGAGGCACAGCAAGGAGCAGATCCTGGAGCTGCTGGTGTTGGAGCAGCTCCTGAGCATCCTGCCAGAGGTGGTTCAGGCCAGGGTATGGGAGTATCATCCAAGGAGTAAAGAGGAAGTGGTGACTGTGTTGGAAAATCTGGAGACAGAACTTGAAGGCAAAGGACAACAGGTGGGGAAAGGGTAATCCATTGTTCATTTATGAGCTCACCACGGGTCTACCAGCAAAGACAGGGGCCATGAGTAAGCAAGAGGAGAGGGATTTATGACTGTTATTTTCTGGGCTGAAGCATTATCTTTCTGTTTTCCCTTTAAAACTCTGCTGATTAAGACACTAGTTTCTTTATTCTGCTTTCTATACCTGTAGGAAATTTTATTTTTAATCAAACTCTGAGGTTTAGTTAGCTATTGCCATCTTTCTGGTCCTTTCATAAAACCAGCTCTACTGGTATGTCCTTAGGTCCAAGCCAGTGCACGTTACAAACAAGAAGTGCTATGGAAGGAAGTGAGACCTGCAAGCCTTGCAAATCAGTCACAGATTGTCCAGCTAAAGTGTGATCTTTAGGAGATCACAGTTTGGGAGAACCTTCCTCTGCAAGAGAATGGTAAGCTTTACAGCATGAATTTTTGTGATCTTTTAGAAGCACTGAGCCAGAGAAGGCAATGGCACCCCACTCCAGTACTCTTGCCTGGAAAATCCCATGGATGGAGGAACCTAGTAGGCTGCGGTCCATGGGGTCGCTAAGAGTCAAACACGACTGAGCGACTTCACTCTCACTTTTCAGTTTCACACATTGGAGAAGGAAATGGCAACCCACTCCAGTGTTCTTGCCTGGAGGATCCCAGGGACGGGGGAGCCTGATGGGCTGCCACCTATGGGATCACACAGAGTCGGACACGACTGAAGTGACTTAGCAGCAGCAGAAGCACTGAGCATAGCATCTGCTAAAAGTAGTATTTCTGATGGAAAAAAAAAATGTATCTAGAAATAGCAGAACAAATTTAACACCAAAAGCTTATTTACAAAGTGAGCATATCTAGAGTTGATTTCACTTTGAATTGGGCTATGTGCTATTTTTTAACTGGGCTGTTATAGTGGTTTACAATTCTGTGAATCCAAATCATTATGAAACTGTTTAAGAAATACTGATGCCCAGATCTCCCATAGATTTACCACAGTGGGCCCTAGTATTATATGTTTTAATTAGCTATTATCAGAGAACAATAATGGTAGTTTATATTTTAAAAAGTCAAGTGCTATAGAAAGATAGAAAATGAAAAAAATTTTTTAAAGTTCCATTCCCAAGAATTAACAAGAATTGTGGGCCTTTCAATCCAGCCAATCTAGAGCCCAGTCCCCCAACCATCTCCTTTATCAAGCTTTCACATACCAATTTTATCAGTAGAGTTATTTTATTCTTTTTAATGTTTAGTTTTCTGTTGCATACATGTATTGTAATTAATTTAATGGTCTCCTACTGATGTACATTTAGACTTTTTCCAGTATTTTTGTTATTTTAAACAATGATCAGTGGATGTCTTTATGTAAAAATCTTTTGGCCGTTGTGTGAAAATATTGAAGGAAAAATATTTCTATAAATGTAGTAAGAAATTAACAGTCACTAGATTAAAATAGGCTACTTATTACATAGGCAACAAGGTTATAGTGATTACCTAGGTAAAGTAAAAGGACACAAGGTGATGGAGAAGGAATTGGGATTTGGGCTTTTTACTTTTATGCCTTTTATACCATTGAAATTTTTACCTTGAGTATCTGTTCTTTTTGTAATAAAAGAGCACAGTCTTTAGATTCAGATTAACTCCAAGCCAGGCTAGTCATGTGATCACAGACTAGTTATTTAATTTCTGTGTTTCAGTTTTTGTTTCTATTACCTAGCTTATTGTGTTACTGTGAGCATCACCACAAACTGACTGATCACTTGGTGTTTTAGCTATCTATTTCCATGTAACAAACCACTCCAGAGCTTAGTGGCTAAAGGGAACAACCATTATGTTATCTCTTACAATTCTATGGATTGACTGGGATTAACAGGGTGGTTCTGCTGCTGTACGTGATATTAAATGAAGCTGTAGGTATTGAGGACGTGCCTGGACTGTGATGTTCCAGATACTTCACTCACATCTCATAGCTTATCAGGAGATGGCTAGAAAACTGGGCTTAGCAAGATTATGAGATGGATGGACCTCAGGTTATCTTATTTATTCTCTCAGGCTCCATGTATCTCTTTAGTGGAGTAACTAGACTTCTTAACATGGTAACTCAGGGATCTCAAAAGCATCTTTTAAAGTCTTAGTCCTTGAACTGATATATCATCACTTTCACCATATTCTGCTGGATAAAGCAAGTCACAGGCCAGCCTAGATCCTGTGTGGGAAGGGGTTGGACTACACAAGGGATGGATACAAGAGGGTATGTTCATTAGGGACCCTTTGAAGACTCTTGGGAAATTTACATTTCATTCCTGCCATTCTGAGTTTTTATATCTGGACTGAGGCCCAAAAGCCTTTTATTTATTTATTTTTATTCTCTAAGATTCATAAATACAGTAACTGTCAAACCCTTAGCATGATAGTTCTTAATTATTTAGCACAATCCTTGACATTAATAAGCATTTAGTAATGTTATCAATTATTATTACTAACCTTACTTCCAAACCCTTATGTGGGATATGCAACTCTTAAATAATCGACTTGCTCTTTCAGCCGATGAGGCCAGGAATACAACTGGTGAATTTGCCCCAAAGCAGATTTCTGCAGAAAGGAATTCATTGGATGCTTTCCAGGATCCAAAGTGTGGAGAAACTTTTCAATATAGGGGTAAATCAGAACACCAAAAGGCCAACCCCACAAGAGTAAAACGACACAAATGTAAGGAATGTGGAAAGGCCTTTGCTCAGAGCTCAGGGCTTGTTCAACACTGGAGAATTCACACTGGAGAAAAATCTTATAATTGCAATCAATGTAGAAAAGCCGTCAGTTATAAATCAGCCCTTCTTTCACATCAGGAAATTCATAATAAAATAAAACGCTATCGGTGTAATGAATGTGGGAAAGCCTTCAGTCAAAACACAGGCCTGGTTCTTCATCAGAGGATCCATACTGGAAAGAGACCTTATGGGTGTAAAGAGTGCGGAAAATGCTTTAGTCAAAGTTCACACCTTATTGGACATCTGAGGATCCACACTGGAGAGAAACCCTTCAAATGTAATGAGTGTGAGAGGGCCTTCACTCAGATGTCAGGACTCATGGAACATCAGAGAAGTCATACTGGAGAAAAACCCTACATGTGTAAGGAATGTGGGAAAGCTTTCCGCAGGAGCACCAGCCTTACTCAACACCTGAGGATCCACACTGGGGAGAAGCCCTACCAGTGTGAGGCGTGTGGCCGAACCTTCATTCACAGGTCAAGCCTTGTTCATCATCAGAGGATCCACAGAGGGCAGAAGTCTGTATCTATATCCTAAGCATAAGAAAGCCTTCACCTAGGCCTTAGTGAACACTTTAGAAAGCTATGCTGAATACAGACCTAATCATTTTGTAATAAATTGAAGAAATTGGGGATGTGGTGTCTCCATTATCATTGTTATTCTAGATAGTCAAACTAGAAGACATTTTGGTATCATCCATCAGATTGAAAGAAGCTGGTAGCTTGTCTCTGGAGCAGACCAGATTTTGGGCTGAATCTTTTATGGATGCTGCTATTTCTTTCTCCCATTCTTTTGATCCTTCTCCTCTGTGGTCCTTCAGCACTTTTGTTCCGTGAAGTCACTATCATCACATACCCTGAATATGACACAGTGGCGCTCAGATTTTGAACGGAGGACCACTGAGACTGTTAAGTGTGCACACTGTGCAAAGGAGAACTTTATCAGGATGAGTGAGGAAAGTGACATTGTTTTTAAAGTTACCTAAATAAGGGGTAAGCTAGGTAGTTTTTTAACTAGGTAAGTTAAGTTTAAAAGCAACTACTCAATGACATAGCTTGCTGTTTTGTTTGCCTCCTCTTCACCTTATTGGTGAGAGAGGAAGTCCCACCCTAAGATTCTAGGGATGGCCAAACACATGACACCTGGCTCTGGACAGATGGGATTGACAAGAGTTTATTAGTCATGTGTACTCACAGCCTAGGGGAGGAGGGCCACTTGGGAGCAGAATAAACAAACAGGAGTATTGGGATACAGGCTTCATCATAATAAGATGAGGTGATGCCTGGTTTCCTTGGGAGAATGTGATTGGCTTGTTTGAATAATTTCATTGAGGCGGGGAGCAAGGAGGTGAAATCCAGTAGGTTGAGGACCAAGTAGAGTGTAGCTAGTCCACCTGATGGGGAACTAGCCAAGTGGGGTCACTTCCTGCTGGGTGGGAGGCATATACAGCAAGAGTGGAGGAATTGATGGTTAGGCTTTTGGTCCCTCTGAGGCTCAAAGAGGGCTAGGTGGCTCAATGGGAAAGAATCCACCTGCCAATGCAGGAAATGCAAGTTTGATCTCTATGTTGGGAAGATCTCCTGGAGGAGGAAATGGCAACCCACTCCAGTATACTTGCCTGGAAAATCCCATGGACAGAGGAGCCTGGTGGGCTACAGTCAATGGGTCACAAAGAGTTGGACATGACTGAGTACACATGCATGAGGCTCAAAGATGTCAAGGTGGCATATGAAGTTTTAGGCCTTGCTGCTTACTTTGTCAACTTAGAAAAAAGGCATAGTATTTAGGAAAGAGTTAAAATATATATCTGTGCCCTCAAATTCTACTCTTCATTGATATGTCCTTTCCCCCCCGCCTCTTTCTTTCTGAATCCCAGTGATACCCACTCTTCCAGTTACCTCTAGGAAAAAATCTCAGAACTACCTTTGACCATCCAGCATGCCAGTTGGACTTGATTCCATATTGGTAGTAGGACTGAAGAGACATCAGGTAGCAGAGTATCTTTAATGCTTTTCCTACATCTTTCTGACTTTATGCTAAAAACCAGTGGTTTTCTCAAGCTCAGCTCCATCGCTGTCCCTCACACATAATCATCTGGATGTTTATGTCCTCACTACCTTATCTTTGCAATCTTTGGAACAGGCAGTCTAAAAATCATTGGTATTGTCTTCTACTTTGAATGAAATATACTTTCCACTATTGTGAAGACTTGAGAAACAGTAAAGTTTATGAGGTAGAAAGTGTATAAAAGTGAGGTTATTTCATTATATTCATATTTTTATGAGAATGGTATAAATAAATAGCCACCCAAGAAAAACTCTGGAGGTGCTAGTTGTTCATTCTTAACTGCCATCATACCACTTCTGCTTTATTCTGCCTTGTTTCGTGGCTCAAGTAGGAAATACCTGAGAGTTATGAAATTTTTCATAAGCTGAAATGGCATAAAGCAGAGGGAGTTACCTTAGGACACATCTTACTAACAGATGGACAGAATCGAAGTAAAGCACAGACACAGTTCAAAGCTATCGTGGCTTAATGCTGAGGTGTTGAGTATAGTTCCCAGAGAAGGAGCCAGTGACATCACTCTTGCTGCTTGAGGTACATGATGCCTTTCTACAAGGCTAGCAGCAATGCAAATGCTCAACGCTGTTTTCACTTTTCACCTTTTTTGGGTAAAATCTTCTTCAGCTTTATTTAGCAAAAGCAGATACTAATGTAGGTCTTTATTTGTAAAGGCAAAGTGGCATAATGCAGATTTCCAAAAGGCAGGGGATACTTGTATTTCTTGATTTTGTTTAAATACAAATACTAAAAAACATACTTTAAGTGTCAATAATTTGACCTCTGTGGCCTTCCTAACCTTAGAGTTAGGGACGTGTTTACAAAAGATGTGTTATTATAACACATCTCTCCACAGTGACTTGGCTAGTACACATTTCTGAAGACACTGTGTTTAAAGAATGGTTATTGCCTCCAAGTGTGTCATGCATTTTAAGGGTATATACAAGAAAAAAAAATTTATAATACAAAACAAGAAGGACAGATAAACACAAATCAAAAACAATTCTGCCTGGGAAAATTAGGAAAGTAGATAAAGGTGGACATTAGTCAGACATTAAGGATTAGTAGGATTTTGATATTTTAGTCAAGATTCTCAAAAAAATATATATTAGTTTTTTTTTTTTTTAAGAATTGACTCAGACAGTTGTTCAGTTCAGTTCAGTTGCTCAGTCATGTCCGACTCTTTGCGACCCCTTGAACCGCAGCATGCCAGGCCTCCCTGTCCATCACCAACTCCTGGAGTCTACCCAAACCCGTGTCCGTGAGTCGGTGATGCCATCCAACCATCTCATCCTGCCCTCAATCTTTCCCAGCATCAAGGTCTTTTCAAATGAGCCACCTCTTCACATGAGGTGGCCAAAGTATTGCAGTTTCAGCTTCAACATCAGTTCTTCCAGTGAACACCCAGGACTGATCTCCTTTAGGATGGACTGGTTGGATCTCCTTGCAGTCCAAGGGACTCTCAAGAGTTTCTCCAATACCACAGTTTAAAAGCATCAGTTCTCTGGTGCTCAGCTTGGTTTATAGTCCAATTCTCACATTCATACATGACTACTGGAAAAACCATAGCCTTGACTAGACAGACGTTTGTTGAAAAAGTAATGTCTCTGCTTTTTAATATACTATCTAGTTTGGTCATAACTTACCTTCCAAGGAGTAAGCATCTTTTAATTTCATGGCTGCAATCACCATCTGCAGTGATTTTGGAGCCC